TTTCATCAAATTGTCCTGAAAGTTACCAGCCAAATTTATTGGTAGTATTATTTAAGAGCTTCGGACACGAGGTGCTTTTCAATGGGATTGTAAAACAAACCCATGATTTAATGAGGCAGCTTTAGTTTTTTTTATATTTTGGCTAACAAAATAACGAATCTAACTTCCTATATTCTGTTGTTTCTTCATGTTTGATGGAGAAAGAATGGGAAATTAATAAGTTTTAAGTGCATCCTTGAGCTGTTCCAATTCTACTTTTAGTAAGGTATATAAAAACTGGGCTGTCGTAACTTTTGCAAGAAAAGCCACTGATGTTGGACATCTTTTAAGGAATTATTATTTCAATTATTAAGTTAGATTATTGTTGTGAATGATGCAATTAAGGGATTGATGGAGCGATTCTGGGTGTTGGTCGATTCCGTGACAGACGCTCCCAGTAGAATTCTAAAGTTTCATCTATGCGTAAGATCAATCTGTTTCTCAGAGAGAGGTGCCTCATAAGAAAAAAAAATTGTTGAGTTTTTAGCACAAACTTTTTTGCTGATCATAAAATCTATGGATTATTATATAAAATTGAAAGAGAATATTGTCAAAGCGTCTTTCAAGAAAAAAGCGATTATCATTCGACCCGACAATTGCATAAAACTGATTAATTTCTTTAGAAAATCAAAGCAAAGTGGAGAATATTTCTCGATTTAAGGGACAACCCTAGCCAAAAAAAAAAGGATGAAATGAGAGAAGATGCCTTCGGGATCGGGGTTGCCAATGAAGCTTGCCCTGGCCTCTATTTTTTTTTTTTTCTCAAAACTGGAAAAATGAAAAATATTAGGCACTTTCAAAGACTTCAAACCCTGTACACGAGCATATATATAGATCATGTTTCCATCTTTTTTCCACCTTTTGGATGAAAATCAAATTTTCTTTTTTGATGCATTTAGAAGACAATAATCAAATTTGATTCCTCACATTGACAAATAACTTCACTAATTATAAACAAATTAAAAGTTGATTGAGTTTTGTCTTTTCCTTATGTATACAAAATCTTCCAGGCATATGGAAATATTATGTTTAATGTAATGCTTTTTATTTTATTATATTAATTGATTCATATGTTGAATGGTGACCTAATCATTTGCTAATTAATCAGGCAGCAAAAATGAGTGAATGGAGGAAAAGAGAGAATCACGACCTCACTTTCTTAGGAGTTTCAAGGGCCGCTCGCGCCTTTACTTTTTCATGAAAGCTGATTGGACACAAGACAACTTTTTGTTTGATGAAACATTGTTTGTTCTAAAACAATTCTATTGTCATTATCGTTTAATTACAAATATCTTTAACAGTTTCCTTCGGCCAATATTCGAGGCTTTAATCAAGTAAACTTTGTTTTGGCTAGCTTGAGGCTGCCTGCTCGAATCACACTACTAATCTCTACAATATAGCTGCAATTAACCTAATTTAATGAGGATGCAGATCATTCAAATATTCTGCTTTATTTGATAAGATTTTTTTTCTTAACAGAAGAAAATAATATGCAAAATGAATAATGTATCTCTTTCATCTTCAGCATATTTTTGTCCTATCCTTTATAAAGAAGGAGAAATTATTTATTGGTAAAACAATTTTATAGTATGTTGCCTTTTGTTTTTTACAGCATTTCAAGTTAATTTATTATGTTATCCAATTATATTTTAGTTCTTGAATCTCAGATTTAGTCCAAATGGTTCTTCAGATTCTTGTTAGATTAGGATTTGATCCCCACTACTAACATCACTTCTCCTTTGCATATAGCTGCCCTATTATCAAAAGCGATATAAAAGCTGCAATTCCTTTTGTTTTATGGGTTGTATACCTTTTTTTTTTTTTTTTGGAATTTTTATGGCTTATCTTTGCCTTTTAAAAATAATTAATAAAAAAGGAGAGAAGAATTTTCTTTTCTCTTCTTTGGGCTGTCCTGATATTTTTGTGTGCTTTTTTTTTTTTCTACTTTGTCCTTAATTTCTAATTAATTCTTGGCCGTTCTTTGATAAAAATTATTTCCGGGATTCCATTCATTTTCTGCAGAGCAACCAAACGTCCCCAGATGACACATTGTGGCTAGCTATAAACATCATTCATGATTTCAATCATGTTTTTGGATTTTGCATTACTATAACAAAGCAGAAGCAGGCTGGAGATTCGCAAACTTATTAGAATATGAAGTCTGTCTAATGATAATATAGGTCATAGATTCTTATGGATGGGGTCGCTCGACCTGTCATTCAATCAACAATAATTTCCATTTTCATTTCACAGTTCATACTTCATACTCATTCAGCACTACTACTTTGTTCCTTCGAAATTAACCTGGAAATTGTACTGGACATCCGACACGTGATTGTGGTCACTAATGTACCGTCCTCCACTGTTACTTTGACAATGCCATAAAACCTACAAAATTTCAGAAAAAAAAAAAAAAAAAACTTGATGTTTTATCAAAGAAATAATAGGGGGAAATAAAGTTGGTTTTGAAGGTAGCCAAATCATTTGCCCCGTTTTTTATCCCCCTTTTTTTTTGCTTTAAGAAAACTTTTCTTAATTTTTGTTATTTGGTAGAAAGGAAAAAGGAAGGAAGGAAAGAGAGTGAAAGGAAAAAACAAGTTTTTTTTTTTTTTTCAATTTTTGCTTGGTTTTGTAGGAAAAAAATAACATTAACGACGAAAATGGGTGGATTTGCATCTTTATTCTTTTTCAAATTCAATCCTTTCAAATATGAAAACAAACACTCATCAATATAAAATTAACAATTTTATTTATTACTTTACCTTTAACCTCTCTTTTATTTCTTTTTATTTCTCGTTTTTCATAACAAATACAACCAAAGATTAGGTAGTGGAGTCAATTGACTCCACTGAAATTTAAAATTCTTACACATAGTTTAGTATAATTTTGAAATTGATCCCATTTAAAAAAAAAAAAATAGAGGGGTCAATATATTACATAAAATAAATTTAGGGTCAACTTATGGTTAGTAGGAAGTAGAGATCACATATTCAAACATGTTAAGTATGGATAAAGCCAAACAAAAAAAAATATAAAGACCTAGCCCGAAATTGATAAGATTGTTGAGATGAACCGTTGCCATCATATTGTTCTAGCTTAATTATAGCTTTCTTTCTATTTTTTTTTTTTTTTAGTTCGGGAAATGAATGTTAAACTTATAATATAATCAAATTTAAAAATCTGGTCAGCAAAATCACAATCACCCCTTCTTAAATATAATTGTGAAAAATAAACGATGAAAATGAAAATTTTTCATTAATGAAATAGATCCTTTATCACATTTGCAGTTTTCACCAACTACACAATAACGTTCACGAAATTATCATTTGATTCACAGGCCGTTTTGCATTTCTTACGTCTTTTTGGTCTTTTCTGGTGGCACTGATGTAAATGGTTGAGCAACTAGCTAACCTAGCTAGTTCCTACTCCAATACATTGCATATGCTTGCACCACTTTCGTGTTAGATCCAATGAATTTTTTCTTGTTTTCATGAAAATTCATTTGATTAAGTTTTTGACTAGCTATACATTTTTAGCAATGAGTGTACTCACTAATAAAATTACAAATCCAATGATTAAGTAAAATCCCATTTAAAATGGGCAATAATCACTTAAAAGTTTGAATTAATGAAGATAATTAATGTTTACTTTCAGGAAAGGATAACAAAATAATTAGGTGACTTTCTATGGATAGCCCAGCAAACAAAACACACAATTAAGCATTTTTCACTTTATGTTACATTTCCTAATCACACAATCGAAAGAATAAACAAGATATATGTGAATTCTCCTAAATTTCCTATGGCTTATTCATTTTTGTGAAATTTGTAAACGACCAATTGCTGATAACAAGTAATATAATTCATGAGCTTCAGATATATAATGCAATAGTTGAGCCTAAAATTAAGGAAAAAAAGAGAACTCAATAGTTGATACAAACTGCCTAACTAAAAATAAATTAAAATCGTGAAAGCAATAAATGAAAGGTGACGACCAATCTCTCTCTCTCTCTCTCTCAAAAAGACTTTAAACATCACCGTACAATAAAAGAAGAATATTATTTGCTCCTTAATTGGATGGTCGTCTATAGCATCAAAGCCTTGCAAGAACTGGTCCTGTTGAGACAAGTAAAGAAATTGAGAGGAAGAAAGTTATCACTTTTTGCATGGAAAGTTGATAAATGCCGCGTTGATAAAGGTGGCTAATGTTTTCTTTTCATAATTTTAGGTGTTTTTTAGGTTTCAGGTTAAGAAGCCATGTTAAGGGTATTCGGTTGGTAGAAAGCTGCCCCTCAATTATTTTTCCCATTTTGCTTCTCGCTTTCTATAAAAAAAACAGGCCATCTTTTCAATAGGCCCTTGAAGACTTCAGTTGTCCAATGCACATGCTTTATATTCGCCTCGACCGTGCAATATCAATAATAGAACCAAGCACGCCGATCATTTTATCCGTTCAAAAAAATTTTAAAGTTTAAATTCTCACCTTTCTTGAATAAAAAATTAATCAGGTTTTTTATTCGCTTTACGTTGCTCGATATCATGTGGAGAATTCAATGGGCCGTACAGATGTTGGCCTGGGCTGCCATTTGGGCTTTTGTTGGATCGGATGACAGAAAGTTTGTTATTAGATTAGTTTAGTCGAGCCAGAAGCCCATAACCACTCCTAATGGGCACAAGTCTGTCACAAGCTAAACCCAAACGCTAACCATGCCCAGTGCCTATCTTAACTTGAAACAAATCTCTCTTGTTTTGAAGATGAATGAATGAGATAAGAGATTTTTTTTTTAACTTATATTTTGATAATTGAAATGTAAATGAGACATATCGAAAATAAATTAAATTAAATAACAGTAATAAATGAGACAAAGGACTATTTAATTACTACTAGGAAAGAAAACAGGAATGTTTTTTTTTTTTGGCTGAGTTTATTAATTTAGGTTGCAAGTTGCAAGAGAAGTAATTTGGTGGTTTTTTCACAAATATTAAATTAAGCAGGGGGTGAAAGCACTGTTGTTAGTAAATATTTAAATATGGAGGAAAAGCAAAAGACGACGACAATTTCATTATCTTTTTGGGCGGTGATTACATCTTTGTCAAAAAGGTACTTTTTAGGATGCCTAGCATCGAACAGAACCTACACTCAACCTTGATTTGCAGTTGAACTTAATTTGTTCATGTAAAATTGTATTCTTTAAAATGAAAACCAGCACTTATTATTATGCAATATCCATACAGTATATGTAAGTGTTTGGGAGAATCCGCAAAGAAACCAAATATGAGACGTCAAGAAAAAAATATCATATGTTTCTCAGCCATTTAAACTTGTCGTGAATCATTTCATCACTTTGGTGTTCCCCTTTTAAAAATGAAAAATACCCTTTTATAATTTGCTTGTAAAAAGCCCAAAGAATTATATGTCGCTTACATATTGTAATCACACGCATGGCACTAAGTTAGCTACCATTTTTCACTTCCAAGATGAAAAAAATTAACACCATTAAATATTCTACAATCTAGAGAAAATACTTACTAAAGAAACATGATATATGTAACACAATACAAATATTAATTGCACACTAATTATAATGAAGTCACCATCTATATTCAGCATATTTTCCCAAGGATCCTTTCCAACTACTAGAAACACTCCATTGATCAGAATTAGCCACCGATGACACCCCATTTCCACACTTAGCCACCGTCCTCACGCTCTCTATCAACGCCTCCGTTCGAGCCTCCTGCGCCAGGATTTCTGCTAATTGGTCTGGACTTATCACCAGCTTCACCTTCCACACGCCACTGCTGTTATACCTCGGCAGCACCTCCGCTTCGGTTCTCTTCAACACCCTTTGCTGATCAAACGACATGCGATATGGAGTATTCATAGATGAAGAAGTTGATATAATACTGTTACTCTTGCTTTCAAGGTTGTTGTTTTGACCGTTTTGTTTTGCGAAGTTGTTGGTGCGAGGGAGGAGATAATAGAGCTCGCCTGCATGAAGCTCTTCGTTGTGAAGGAGAGGCTGAGAGAACAAGTCACGTTTGCGGTAAATGGCATGGCCTGGGAACTCGTTGGTTATGCACTCTGCCGTGATGGGTGCGAATAACTCCATGATGCCGCCACTGGATGTTACCACTTTTACCATTTCTTCAACTTCTCCAAACCCTTTGAACACACAATTGCCCATATTAGGTCTTCGGTTCTAATAATCTTCTTCTTGCTATCGTTTTTAGATAGGGAAAGGCAGCTTTGTGGTTTTATGGAATGGAATCTTTAAAATCTTGTTGAAATATAAGTGGAGAAAAACAGATGAAGAGGTGAGAATGAGAGGAAAGGGTTTTCTTAAGGGTTTCCTTTCGTCGGTGCGTAGCCGACACAAGTATCCTTGCCCTTGCCATCCCAAAGTCTAAAATCTTGTGGCTTTTGTAGTGGGATGGCCCACTTTTCTTTGCTTGGATGGTAAGAGAAAGATGCACCGTTGATATTGGAAAGGAAATATAACTAAAAACCAGAAGATAAGAAGAATTTGGATATGGAATATCTATTCTTTTTCTTTCTTTTTTTTTTTTAATTTCATTTTTGTGTAAGTAAAAAGTCAACGTTTGGTCCGTCAAGACTACATAAGCGTTTGAGATCATGTTCATCATGGTCAATTGCACCATCAAGTGTGCTAATTCCTTTTTACCGTTTGCTTTTAAAAAGTGGAGCCCAGTTTTCGGCGACTCCGTCATGAAAAGAATAGAAATGTCGGATTGCTTAATCTTGACTCTTGAGCATATATCGTTATGCTCGGGAGCAAAATTAAACCTTGGGAGTGGTTTCATTGACTTGTACCATGGAAATTAACGTCGTCTCGTATTTGCTCAAGTGAAGTTTATTTTCCAGTGAGGCGACAAATCAAGTTTTTTCATACTAACGTATAAGTTTGGAGAGATGTTGAAAACCCAACAAAATATATATACACTCAAGTGAAGTTTATTTTCCAGTGAGCCGACAAATCAAGTTTTTTTATACTAACGTACAAGTTTGGAGGGATGTTGAAAACCCAACAATATATATATATATATATATATATATTGGGTAGGTCAAAGACAGGCATGGACCAGGAGATTCAGATTGATCTCAATGAAAATGAAAGCTGATCCATTAATCATATAGGACTCCACTTCTAGTTTATAACACCTAGTCAAATATATAGGAATGGATCCTATATATTGCTTAGATGAATCATTAAAGGACGACAACGGAGCATATTTACAGCTTTCGGTAGCAATGGCACTCGTTGAACTCAGTCAAAATTTTCAACCATGGTTATGAAATGATGGACTAATAACCCTCTAAAGTAGGTAGATTCTTTACAAATGGCTTAGAAATGTTTAGGGCTAGGCTTGGCTAAATGTAGGAAACTTCTGTTGGTATTTACAAATTAGAACAAAAATTTGCCCGAAAACTTTATGTTCTTTCTTTGGTACACTCTATACACACTTCATTCTCACTTTAAACATAACATAAAACAAACGAGTCATATTTTCTCTTTTGTTATGCTTAAAATGATCATTAGATATGCAGAGCATATGCAAATAATATTATCCTATTTCGATAAAGATGTGGGATTAATTATGAAGTAATTATCTGCTTTTAATAACTTGGGAGACAGGTTTGCTGATGATTAAGGATTAGGTTTGGCAAAATTACTCAAATTTTGAAGCTAGTAGGTAATTAGAGGTGATAACACATCTGCAGGGAGAAATTAAACTTTAATCGTTACATTAATTATTTATTAAGTCATGTAGATAATTATAACTAACGGTTCGAACTTTCAAATATCGGCATAATAGTGACCAATTTGCATACATTTTATTCACCTCTGGCTTTGGTACGTCGATGATTTGTCCTTTGCGATCATCACTATATATCTATATAGTTGGAGGCATGATGGCTTTGGCTGAGAAAGAACTGTTGAGAATTGAAAGCCGTTGAGAATCATATCATTGCATGCTAGAAGAAGATCGCAGCATCAGGGCTTCGGACTATAAATTCTCACTTTATTTATTTATTTTTTTTCTGGTTCACCTTTCTCTTACTCTTACTTTAGCATTTCAGTTACCGATACAACCCACCCACAGACGTTGAAATTCTTCAATTAAACCCTTTAAACTTTGAGCAATCCCATAAAAGCCCATTAGGTTGGACCGGAACTGTTTTGTTTTTTAAAGGCCCAATTGAAATTGTAGTGAAAAAAAATGCATCTAAATGGAAACTTTTGAAAAGTTCTAATATATTAAAGAGAAATGTTAATCAGTATTTAAAAAATAAAATTATAATTAGCGAATTATTTTTTTAATTTAGTTAAATTAGTATATTAAGGTAAATTTTATTGAAATAGTAATTTAATTATTCTTAACTAGTGTTTATAAATATTGAATCTTATATTAAATTGAAATTATTTAAAATAATAATTATCATTATTTCATACACTATCGATAAAAGTAGTTGATCATACAATTTTAATTTATAAAGTTTTTTCATTGAATCGTTATCGAATTCTCATTTTGATTTTTTCTTTAACTAAATTTAGAGTTTCAACTTTTAGAGTTAATAACATCCATGATTTTTAAATTTTTATTCAAATTTTATTGTGATTTTTTATTTTTACCAAATTTTAATTGAATCCCTAATTACTAAAAATTGTCATAATTTGATCATTTTCATTTATAAACCATTTAAATTAGCAGGAAATGTTACTTGATGTCACGTAAATGGTGTCAGCTGAGATCTTGTATAACAAACAAAGAGATCGAAATAGAATTTTGTTCAAAGTTTAGGGACTAAAATGATGTTATTATCCCAAATTTGTTTATATTTTAAATATATTTTATAAAATATTAATTTTTGAAAATCTAATTTTATTAAAAATAAAAAATATTTAATAAATAAATTATATTATAATTAAAAATATATAAAAAAAATTAAATATAAAAAAAATCAAGATAGTAGTATCACTAGTCTCTAAACTTTGAGTAAATTTTATTTTAGTCATTTTTTCTACCAGATGAGATGTTAGTTGATACTATTCATATGATATCAATTGATAGTAACGTTTAATTTAGATAGTTCTATAAATAGAATGATCAAAATAATCTAATTTTAATCAATTAGAATCCAATTAAAATTTTTAAATATTAAATATCAAAATAAATTTTAATTCAAAGTTTAAAGACTATGGATATTATATATCCTAACTTTTATACTTAGGGATGGCAAACCCCTCATAATCGATGGGTTCCTATCCGACCATATTGTTTAGGATCATTTTTTTTTATCGAATTTTTGGTTGGATCGGATAACAATAAAAAAATTTTAGGGTTGGGTCGGGATTGGGTTTAGGCAAACCCACTCCGATCTGACCCTATATATATTTATAAAAAATTATTTTTAATCATTTATTTAAATTTAAATTTATATATTTTTATATTTATATTTATTTATATTTATATTAAAAATAATATTTTATTAATTTTAAATTGAGTCGAGTCAAATCGAATTTTGATATAAAATAAATTTTAAAAAATTATGTCAAATCGAATTCAAATATTATGGATATAAAATCGAAATTGATTTATAACGAGTAAAAACATATCTCAATCTGATTTGTTATCATTCTTATTTATACTAGTCTCTGTGTCCCAAAATTATTGTCTCTTTATGACTTTTTTTGTCCAACTAACTCAACTTTTGTTATTATTTTAAATAAAATAATAAAATTTAAAAAAAATTAAAAATAAGATTTGTAAATTTTGAGTTTCAAAAATTTTAAAGCATATATTTTTAAAATTTTTATATAATATTATATTTTTTAAAAAATAAAATCTAAGTAGAATTATTTTGACAAAAAAAAAATCTTTAGGAGACAATTATTTTAGGAAGGAGGGAGTATAAAGTTAAAATGCATTTTGTCCACACCTTCATTGGACTTATCTTCAATTTCTTAAAGTTAAATAATTGATCTGAAAATTATGACAAACAAATATTTAGTTTTTCATTGAATCATGAGGACTAAAGAATGTGCTTACAAGGAAAACAAAACTGTAACACATGTTACAAGTAAATTTTTTTTATGTCAGTTACAATTATATATAAAATAAATTAGAGATGATTAATTTTGAAACTAACCATAACTCATAAGCAAGTAACGTGCAACAAAAAGCAGACTCTGAGACAAGACAAGAATCACGGGAACTCACACTCAATGATAGAGAGAGTAATGATATAACGCATGACTCGTAAGTCTTATCTTAGCTGTTGCGTTTGGCCCTTTTCCCATGGTTATAGGTATTGGTTAATTTATTTTTTTGTCTTTTAAATTAAGATCGGCTGCATTCAACTTTCAAGTCCGACTATAACAACATTATAAGGGTTATCGAATTTGAATTTTAATTTAATTTATATAATTATTTTAAAAAATAATGTTTAATAAATATAAATATCTATACATTAAGATTTTTTTTTATAAAAAAACTGTGATATAAACATGAGTACGTGACTAATTAATTAAATGAGCATTCATTTCATCCCCAAATTTTTTTTAATCTAAAATTAATCCCCCATTTTTTGTCATTTAATTCGTGCGAACTGTGAAACAAAATTCTTTTAAGTTCACGGCTTACTGTTGGGGACCAACTTAATTGCATGCTGCCATCTGTAATTGTTTTGAATTAATAGTAATTAATAGGCTCTCAATCTCATAAATAATTGGCGTAAAGTCTCAGGCTTCTATCTAGAAACCAGGCGCAAGCGCGGAAGGGACCAATTGTACGTTACATTTAATTTTTCTAACGTGTGTATGAAAAGGCATAACTGATGCCTGAAAGGCCAAGTTTTTTCAGGAAATTCCCATTGAAAACATGGATTGACTGGCAGGCACCAACCCCCCATACAGTTCTCGTGCGTGGGTTTGCGTATTTATGACAGGGAATTGATTGCTCTTATATAAAGGGAAAGTACGTTACCACATTTACATATATTGACAGAGAGAGAGAGAGAGAGACGGGAATGGGGAATTGGTTTGGGAGATCAACCTTGATGGTGAAACGTTTGGAAAACGCTATTGAGATGATGAAGAACCGAGAAGATCAGGATGAGAGAAGGAAGAGCTTTGATGCACCGTCAAGCCCTATGAGGATTAAGGTGCGTATGACTAAAAGGCAACTGCAAGAGCTGAAGGCACATGCGGATATGAGCGAAGGGAATTCCGACCTTGGTCGCTTGATTGTTAAGGAATGCTTGGAAGGTAGATTGTCTCCTCATGTTGTAGTTGGACAAAGTCATGTTTCGGAGGATTCAACATTAAAGCGTTTGAGTTTGAGTACTATTGATGAAGAATGATTTGGAAATGAGAGTTGTAAGAGATCTTACGTGAGAAAAAAGAAAGTTGGGTATGTTTTCAATTTTGTTTCTATCAAACAAAATGTAAATATGATCTTTTAATCCAAAAAACAAAGAAAATTGTTGTTAATTGTTATGATTTGTAAAATAGAATGTTTGGGTTGCTTTGGGTGACACAAGTCCCAGTGCTTCAAGGGCAATAGTTGAGGGTGGGCTAGACTTCCAGAGTTCGACATTTCTTGGGTTCTTAACTGTTAAAGATATCCAAAAGTCAATGAAATGGTTTTGTTGATCAATGCCTTGGGCCGAAACATCGATGTTGGATTCCTGATTTTTTTTTTTTTAACTTTATTTATATGGGATTTGTATGAATTATGAAAAAGGTTTTTCCTTTTTGGGGATTTACTTTTTGAACAAATGAAAAGACGCCAGCCAGCCAGCCAGCCAGGATGGCCGTCACGAAATCAAACATGGGATAGCAAATCAATATTTGGATGGAAAACAGGGTATAAATGAATAATTCTTAGCTGTTCACGATAGGTCCCAGTTTGGTAGGAATGCCGTGCTGTATTTTGGTTTGACGAATGGCATCGGTTATATGGATTGGCGGTTGGGCACGGCAAATTAGCTCCACAAAATTTATAGAGTCTTCGGTGACCGACCGAAAGAATGTTGTTCCGTTCGCAGGTTCCAACAGCTGGGCCCGTCACTTCAAATTGCTCGCAGCTACGGGTACTTTCTAGGCGGCCCTCCTAAATCTCAACGTCATAAGTCCTACCCTCGTAAGCTAAGGTCTATGGTTAGACATTACTGTTTGTCTGCACACATTAAGTTTTACAACTGTAATTTCAAGAAAAAAGCAGTTTTTGCTAATGAACTAATGGTTCTATTTTGTTAAGTTTGTTAAGTATTTAAAATGATATTTAGAAAGAACATATTAATCAGTATTTTTAAAAAATTTATAAAATTTTCTTTTAATTGCATTTGATATATATTGTAAGGCCTAAATCCTATATTCTTTAAACAATTGTAATCATTTTTATGTACAAAAAATAAAATAAAATAAAATAATATGAATTGCAGTTTTTTTAAAGTACAAATTTATTTTAACTAATGTTTTTCACACAATGTAACATTTTCCTTGAACAAATAGCATAAGATAACAAATATATATATTTTAAATAAGATAGCAAATAGTTATTTCTCTTGCAATCTTAATAGTCAGTACTGTACTGGTAAGCGTATCATTTTTGTTATGGTGCAAGTACGTACGAATATAGATGTATTTTATGAATTTACATGCATTTTTAATAATTTATCTATAATGTATATATACACATATAAATATACTTCGATTACATACATTTATATGTTAATATAGATTTTAAAAATTATAAACATTTAATACCTAAAATTTTCATATCTCGAATAAATGAAACTAATATACAAATATTAGGAAAATACAGTAAGTTATAGTTCAATAGCTTAAGTTAAGAACTTATATTATTTTTTTGATGAAATTATGAAAAATAAAATTTTATAAAAAAAAAGTATTAAGAATCGATTAAAAGAATAAAATAAGTTTAAAAATTAAAAAAATACAAAATACAAAATGTAAAATGTTATATCAACTGGCATGATCCGTTCGAATTGACATGATCACTATTGATTGATACGAAAGACAAACCGATACACAAAATTATATAGATTGATTTTCTTCTAAAAACGGTATGTATAAGTACAAGCCGATGAGACCGATACTGATGACTACTTTCAACTTTCCCTAGGACAATGGTTTAAATTTTGAACTTACACATTAAATTAGAACGTTATGAGGGAAATATTCGGATTTTCGGAAATATAAATATTGTTTGGATTCTAGTAGTAGATAAAAAAAAAATCATAAATTGGAGTTATATTACATGCTCCCCACCGTCGAAAAAGGAGTGAGATTAAGACTTGGCATATGGTTGCGCCAAAAAAAAAAAAAAAAGAATGAACGGATAATGCAAAGGTCATAGAAAAGAGAAAAACATATCTCCCCACGTTACAGTCTCACGCGCTTCCCACTCATCATATGCAGGGGCCTCCCCCCAATCACCTACGTTATCTCCCACTGTCAATTATGCACCATAATTCTCCATTCACCGTCCGATTTTAACTTCACAAGTATTCTAATCCGCCATCTAACGGCCTGAAAGAAATCTTGATGAAGAAAAATCGAAGATAATAATGGAAAGCAAAGCACCGGCCAGTTGCATGTGCGAGCCTCTGACGCTTGACCGTGCTGCTTTTCTTTTTGTAGTCTTCATGTGGATGAATAGTACGACACTCCACGCATTTTCAATTATTCCAACGCTTTTTTTTTAAGATTCTTTTTGATAAATTAAAAGATTAAGTACGAAGCTTTTAATATTAAATTTGATAAGTATTAATTTAATTATAAATTTAATTTAATACTTTAATAAAATTATATTATTTATAATTGTAGAAGATTAAAATCTGAAAATTAATCATTTTATCTTTTTATTTTTAATGTAGATAATGAAAAATTATTTAAATAATAATAATTTTAAAAATTTTAAAAGAATTTATTAAATATTTTTTGCATTAAATAATAAGTAGATTTATAACTACTTATTTTATTTAACACTTTTTTATTAAAAAATTTTAAAATGAATTTTAAAATATAGTCAAACATATTAAAAATTTTTATTGTCAATGAAATAAAAAATTTCAATGATATATCCGACAACGCCTAATTAAACTTTTTTCAATGTCTCAGCTCGGCTTGGTTGTCTCCAAGCCAGCCTCCAACGTCATCTTTATCCTTTCCTACACTTTTTCTAAATAAACTTTTTCCATTGTCTCAGCTCGGCTTGCTTGTTTCTAAGCCAACCTCCAACAACATCTTCTCACACTTTTTCTATGACTCGAATTTTCATTTTTTTTAATGTTTTTGTTTTTCCACTTTAAAAAAGTAATTTTTAAATGCTCCGAACTTTAAAATATGATCATAAATTTGTTTCAAAATAAAAAATATGGTGATAAAATTACATCAATTGAAATCTTGGTGATAAATTTGAACCAACCATAAAAATGTAGTAGTAAATTTGCATTTTTTTTACATTAATTTTTTGAACCATTATGAAAATAATTTTGTCTTATAAATCAAATGAAATGGGGCATGCTGCATGCACCACAAGTTGAATCAAGTGAAACCATGAAAGCAAACAAATACTGTTAGAGTATCGTCCCATCCAATCATTTTTTTCTTAATATTTACAAAATTTAGGCCTAAATTTGAAATGTGGCAATCATGAGTCAAATCTGTTCTTTAATCTTCACCTATGCATTTTTTAAGAAAAAAAATGATATCATTTGTGCATAAAACATAACATCCCCACCACACCAAATTCAAAGATTGAAGTGCATAGTCAATAGCACAAAGAGAGAAGCAATTCATTGATGTCCTTAAACATTCTTTTTCATAATTAAAAAATATTATGAAAATGTCAGGTGGACTATATGGGGGTAGACATCTTATAGAATCAAAATAACCATCCCCACATGCATGCAACAAGAGAATTAAAGTTTTATCTGATTATTATATACATGCAGCTTGACTTTTCCCTTTTAATTTTTTTGTAAACTTTTTAATAAGTAGCTTTTTAACATGATAAATACTCAAGCATGATTTGTTAGCAAAATATTAAATTATAATTTAAATTTTGATAATTTTAAATATAAAAAATAACAAATAAAATAAACTTTTTATTTATCGATAATGAGATTAAATTTCATAAGTAGATTAAAATATTATCAATTATTTATGTAATTATCATACTAATTTGTTTATTTTTTAAATTAATATAACGAAAGGAGTGATAGCTTTTTAATTTCGTTTTTAGAATTGAAAAATTGTCAACAATTTGCACAATATAAATAACTTTTATCAAAATAGATAAAAAGATTATGAGAAAATAAAACTAGGGCAGTTATTGAGAGAACCAATGAGCTATGGCTGTGAATTAGATTAGGGATTTAGGAGTTTTGATTTTATCTAAACTTACTCGAAAAAAATTCAGATTTGGATTGCTGTCATTATCAACGCTTAGTTGGCTAAAACCTACAGTCCCATCCTCCCAAGCTCAGCCTCCGTGTAGTAGGCTACTAGCCGCCAAGAGAGTCGACAAATCCCCAGAGTTGGCAACTATAAATCAAACAAACAAGCAAGAAAAAAAAATCCGAGAAGGGAAAAGTGCTGAATAATTTAAAAGCATAAAAAAAAGTTAAAAAAAAGAGGTTTGACCGAACTCTTCGACAGTCCAAGGCCGTTGGTGTTAGTAGCGACAGTCATGATTTGGGTTCCAGACGATTTTTAATCACTGGTAATATCCGGTAAAAATATCGTTACCCTTTTTTTTTATCCTTTTTTTTTTTTTTTTTTCCATTATAAGCGCCGCTTACTACGCTTTGACGCTCACCACTAAGTAGCTTTCTATTTTTATTGTTTATCCTTTTTATTTTTTAATTATTATATAATAGATGAAAAATCAGGAAATAGAAATAGATAAATTTAACCTATTGAGAATTGCTACATTAGAAACTCTAAGGCCTTTATTTTCTGTTATGTAAATATATATAGCTTATTTTGTTTTGTTTAATTATAGTGATATATATGGATTTGGTAAAAACAGCATGATTTAAGAGGGGACCCTTGTTGTCAAAATGGGAAGGCATGTCAGTGGATAATGTTTAGATGAAATTAGGATGGTTTTGATTAATGTACAATGGACAAAACATTAATGATGTTCAATTATTTTTTTTTCAAATGTTTAATTATGTAGTCGAACAAAGTTTAGGGTGATTGATTCAAATTTTAATTCATTTAATTTATATAATTATTTTTAAAAAGAATTTTAAATTTAAATTTTAAATTTCAATATTTATAATATTTTTTATATAATTAAAACTGTAATTAAAAAAAAAAAAACTTAGGATGATCACTTATGATCAAATTAGTTAAGGGCAATTTGGGGTTTCGAGAATTTGTGGTGTTTATTCTAGAAAAACAAGGGTGGTTAATTATTAACTGTTAACCTCCTTAATTTATTACTATTATCCAAAACAATTTAAAGAAAAAAAAAAAAAAGAGACTTTAGAAGGGTGTGCCAGAAAGTTTTGGCCCACCAAACATAACCCCAATACTGTACTTTTTGGGTTAAGGGAATAGGAAAGCTGCAGAGGACGGGAGTCGAACGAGCCGAATAGACAGAGACATTTCCAAAGGTAGAAATAGAGTTGAATGAATGATAACTCAAAGACCCACAAATGGCAGAAACAGAACATGCAATATTACGAGGGAGAAGAAAGAGAGAGGAAAATGGAAGGTTGGATACAGCGAAGCAGATCCCCCCTCCCACACGCTGATAGATATTATAATATATATATATATATATATGTCTTTGTTTTTCTTTGTTGGAATACAAAAGATAGAGAAAGTGGTGATACAGCGAAAAAGGTTGGGTCCTTGAATTTTCATTGGACAACCTTGCCTACTAATGTCGTGGGTGCCCACTAGCAGCTTTTTTGTCTTTTTTTTTTTTTTTCTTATTTTCGCTTCCCTGCTACTTCTTCATCCTTTAATCACCCTTCTTTCTTTCTCTCTCTTAATTGTGTTATAACTTGGTATATATAATATATATTTAACACTTGTTGATAAGTGTTTCTTTTTATTTTCTGGCCCTCTCAACAGTAATGATTTTCTCGTTACGGGTATCGTTGTTGAGGAATCTGAGGAGTTTTGGTTGTGAAAAAGTAGCAGTTATAGCATTAGAAAAACAACAGGTAGAAGAAGAAGAAGAACATCACCAAAAAAACAAAAACAGGATACGCCGGTGCACGAGTGCTTGAGGAAGGGCAAAGAGGAAGCAAAGCTTTGGGTTTGATTGATGTGATCATTCAAACAAACGGCTATATCAAAGTTCCTTTTTTTTTTATAATTTTGTTTTATCATTTTTTAACCACTCTATATTTGGCTTCTGGAGTGGTTGGTTGTTTTTTTTTTTAATTTTTGGTTCTTGGTTCCTTTAGCCTTTTTTCTTCAAGCTCTATTTCCCTGTTTTATTTGGGGAGTCTGGTCTGTTTTCTATGTCTCAACAAAGGCAATTTCAGATGGTGGGTGGTAACAATCCAGGGCAGTATAATGACACAACTTTTACAAAAATTTTTGTTGGTGGATTAGCTTGGGAAACTCAAAGAGATACCATGAGGCGTTATTTTGAGCAATTTGGAGAGATTCTTGAGGCTGTGGTAATCACAGATAAGAATACAGGGAGATCCAAGGGTTATGGCTTTGTAAGCTTATTGATCCTTTTTGAAAAAGCCTTGTTTATTTATTTTCTTATCCATTCTATAACAGTAACAGTTGATCCCTTCTTAATAATTTTCATTTCCAGGTTACCTTTAAGGATCCAGAGGCAGCTATGAGAGCATGTCAAAACCCTTCTCCTATCATTGATGGAAGGAGAGCAAACTGCAATCTTGCTTCATTTGGTGCACAAAAGACTCGTCCAACAACTCCTCAATACGGTTTCTTTCTTTCTTCCCTTTCCTTTTTTTTTTTTTTTTGTATTAATTCTTGTCGAAATGCCATCTACTTATCTATTATCAAATCTTTATGCATATGTTAAATAGTCTTGCAATATTCACTCTAACATTTGGTCATTTGGGTGAGAAAAAGGTCATTGTTTGATAATAATATTTCAAATGTTTAACATTCCCTTTTAATTCATGCTGAAGATACGTGTTTGTTACTATTATTGGGAAAACCTTTTCTTCTTGGCTCATTGCCATCATTTCAATAATGTTTCAAGCTCAAGATAAGTGGCTAGTCAATGTGATCTGATAAACCGAAATGTGAATCTAAACTCCTAGAGATATAAAATAATTTAATTTAGGAAGAACAATTAAATGCAGGGGCAGGACGGTTTAGAGCACCTGGATTGATGGCACCGCCTGGTTATCATGGTTCCTCATCAACTTATATCCAACATCCTACCGGTCAATATTCAATTCCTTTCTCAGCTTACGGGTGAGTTCAAGTATTGTAGAAATGAAATCCAATGGCATTTCTTTCTAACCTGCATTTTAGTACTCTTCATTGTTTCATTTATTCTGTTTCATCTCCCACCTTTATTTGTTTACTTTCAGGTATACTGGATATTCACAAGACAACATTTATCCTTTGGTTAGTGTTTACAAACAGATATTGAAAAATAATAACTAATATGCTATGTCAGTTCCTTGACATTGCTTTAGCTGAATTTAATGGTGTTTTGCAGAACTATTATAGTCTCTTTGGAGGTCAACAATTTTCACCTTACTACACTACCGGGGCATCAGTGACACCGGGGATTTTTCATAATTTTTATCCATATTATGCTCAATATGCACAAAATAGCCAAGCTCATGGTTTTGGAGTTCAATATCCCCAAATGGTACAATATCCTTTTTTGCCTCACCAGTATAACTCGACGGGAATCCTATCACTTCCATCTTCAATGCCTATTACAGCAACTACTGCAGGTGATTGTTTTACGCAACCTTTAAATACATTGGGAGAGTATTTTTACAATAGTTTTCAATCAGTTTATCTCTTGGTGTTTAATGCCTATTGCAAGAGAACTTTAATGCAAAATGCAACAGGTGTTAATTATCAAACAAAATATGCCGCAGGTGTTGCAACTACAACTACAGCAACTGCAGCAGCAGTGGTAGCAACAACTACAACAACTACAACAACAACAACAACAACAACAGCAACAACAGAAGTAACAACACCACCAATAACTGCATCACTACCCCCAGCAACAACAGCAACAACTGGGGTGGTGGGAACAGTGCCAGGCCCTTCACAAGCTTCTGGGAAACCTACTGAGAAGAAACCATCAAGTTAATCTGTGTTGAGGGATACAGTGTCTTCTACCTGACAATCAAGATCTTTTGAAAGGGAAGTAAAGGTCAAGCAAAAAGGAAACATTTGAATAAAAGGAATACAACAATTTATTGATTCAAAGGAATGATGGTTCATGCCTGATCACCAAGCATAACAAGGGATGGAACTAAAGAACTTCAGAAGGGGATTGTTCATTCATGGAACGGGCGCTTTAGATTTAAACCTCGCTCCACTAACTGTCTACAATTCATTCTCATTTCATGCCCGATAGGATTGTCTTATTATCATCATCTTTAGTCACCAATTCATCATACATGTTTGGTCTAGGATAGTAGGGAGTCTTAATTAGTTGTTAGCATTAGGAGAAGAAATCATATTCATTCATGTATTTGCATCAGGTGGAAACTAAATATTGGCTTTGGATTCTACCTTAGACACTAATTATTAGATGATTTTGTCTCGGTTGCAGAGAGCATCCGATGACAGTCTTGTTCATACTGGTGGCAAGTGGTTCAGAAGATTGATTTTGTATCTTTGAACCCAAATTTGATTGGTTGGTCAAGAAAAAAGGCGAGCTTGGATGGCTCACCCATTAGCTTATAATTTTTTTTTTTGTTTGTTCATTATTCATGATTGATATTTTTTCAAAGATAGGATTAGTTGGGATAATAAGATGCTATTAATTCCTTTTCTTTTTTTTAACAGATAATCGTCGCTTTTGTCCTTCATCTTTCGCTTTCATTGGCTATTCTTTTTAATTAATAGATCAAATCCTTCTTTTCCATGATCATCACTTTTGGGGTTTGATGCATGTGTTTGGAATCCAAGGGGATCGCATCTCACAAAAAAGAGGTCAATTGTCGGAGGGTATACCTTTTGCTTGTTTCGGAGTCAAGCATGCCGCTTGTATCATATCATGCTTCTGAGTTTTGATCCTTCCAATTCAATGAAAGCCCGGAAAAGTTTCTTCTATAAAAATGATGGGAAAATAAATCCAACAGATCATCTGAAGTGTGTCAAAAGAAGAAATAGGAGAAATACGGCTGTAGCTTTTACACCCTCCAACTCCAATTAATAAACTACCGTAAAGGGATTTTTTTTTCTTTTGGGCTTCTCCTCTGTTCTCAGCAACTGTTACAAAATATAAAAGTTGCAACAACGAAGTTGGTCGGTTCCAAAACATTTAAAAATGGTAATTGTTTAACATGTCATCATTGTCATTGTTGAGGAATGAGTATGAAAGGTTCTTGTATTAGTTAATTTTCTCTCAGGGTCGTCTGGTTTTAGGCATTTTTACTTTAGTGTTGGGTCATTATCTGTTTTACTTTTCTGGTAGTACTTGCATTTGGCGCAATTGTCCAAGATGGGCCAACCAGCATGTTGCATGGCAGAAGGCGTCACATTCTCAGTTGGTCTGAAATTCACTTCTCTTTTTTATCGATGGTTTGGTAAGATTTAGATCTTATAAAACAATCTTAGCAACATTTTTAATTTAATATTGCTCTTATTTTGATACAAACTGCAAGAAAAGTAGACCTAATTTATCTAAATGAATAAGAAAATATTTTGTAACGATTCAATTCGCCCAAAATTGCTGCCAAAACTATAGTTGATATTAATAGTTAAGAAGTAATTATTTTTAAAATAATAGTTAAGAATTAATTAGAATAATCAAAGAACGACAACTAAAGCCAATTGGGAAATCAATTAAAAGACAAACACAGCTGGACAACCCGGGACATAGTGGAAACAAAAGGAACAACAAATATAACTTAGTACTTGGTAGTGAGTAGTGACTGAGGATGACTACGGAACAGACTGGGAGTGGGTTTTTGTTTATTTCGAATTTAATTTGATTTTATATTTATAATATTTAAATTTGATTTAATTTAAATTTTTTTTATTTTTTTATATTTGAATTCGACACAATTCAATTTGATAATATAAAAATTATACTCGATTTGATTTAATATTTAATCTCATTCAATCTAATTTGAAATTAATAAAATATATTTTTTAATATAAATATAAAATTATATAAATATATAAATATAAAATTATATAAATAATTAAAAAATAATTTATATATATTAAGTTAGATTTACTTAAAATTCGATCTCAATCTGATTTTAATTTTTTTTATTATTACTCGATTTGAAAATTAAATTTTTTTTCTTTTAAATTAACTCAGTCAGATTGAATCGAGACTCATCGGGATGAATTGAGCTGTCAATTCTAGTAGTAACTTTGTACGAGCTTAAGCCTTGTAAGAACCTTTTTAAAAAAATTATTTTGGCGTTGTCATCATTTATTAGTGGCTTTGTTACAATAACGAAGGACTAGTACCGTGGGCATAACATCACAGGGCCAAATTTAGTGGCTTTTATTATAGGATTGTGAGATATAGTGAAATAATATGTTGGTTTTATCTGACCATATATATATATATATTAGTTTTATGGAGCGATTGCAATTATAAAAATTTCATTATAATTAATCAATCAAAATTATATGATTATATATAATCTATTTAAATATTATATGAAATACATATTTATAAACAATGGATTTTTATATAATTATTAATTATAATTAAATAATTATATGATTATAATAAAAAATTGCAAGTAAAATACTCCCGTTTGCAATAGGGTAGAGAGGTATGTCAAATTCTATTTTTAGGATAAAATGCTCCCATTGCAATAGGGATAATTTATTCAATTGATTAATTTTTTAACGATTTTAACAAAATTTTGAAATAATTGTAAAATTCAAATGTACGTATGATTAAGGAAGTTATGGTATTTTCACCACTAAAAATGATAAAAAAAAGTCAATAAATATATATTTTGAGCACATAAATCATTATTTTTTGAAAATGTAAAATTTTCGTTATATATTAAGTAAAGAAAAAAAGAAAAAAAAAAAAGAAAATTGACATATTCTCTTTTACAACCGCTATTCCCGGAAAAAGAAACTTTCTGAGGCCTAAATTCAAATATGGGCCAGTTTGGTTTCATGGGCCTAGTTAATAATAGGAGCCCAATTTACACTTTTTATTTAAAACCCCCTTTTCTCAAAGTCCAAGAGAAACCCTAGCAACAGTTGATTTAAGGCGGCGCTGCACAGCTTGCTTCAGAACCCATCGCTCGCAGATTTCATCTCTCTGGTAATTCTCTACCTTTCTCTCTCTTTTCTTGTTTGTTTCTCCGGAAAATTATTGTTTCCTTCAAGAGATTTCCAAGAATTTCCTTTTCAATTTTAGTCTCGATATTATTATAAATCTTTATATCGATTGGGTTTTAATTGCATTGTTTATTTATTATAATGTTAATAGTTAAAGCGATGTCGTCAGTCGGCGAATCTGCTTGCTCTTACGCTGCTTTGATTCTCTATGATGATGGCATCGCCATCACCGTATCCTTTATGCATTTCAGGGTCCTATGGTTTATAATTTGAATTTTGTTTTTAATTTCTTTGATAGGAATGTGGAATGAAAAAAGGAAAAATAGGAATTTTGATTATTGTTGTTGAGAGAATGAGGGATTCGCCATATCCATTATGTATAAGAAGTGGGTTCTTTTTGTTTCTTTAACTGTCGCTAATAGGCTGAGAAGATTGCGACACTAGTGAAGGCTGCAAATGTCTCTGTTGAATCTTATTGGCCAAGTTTGTTCGCTAAGCTTTTCGAGAAGTGCAACATTGAGAATCTCATAACCAATGTTGGAGCTGCTGGTGCTGGTGCTCCGGTTGCCGCAGCTGCACCTATTGCAGCTGGTGGTGGTGGTAGTGCCGCTGCTCCACCTCCTGCTGAGGAAAAGAAGAAGGTGGGACTAAAAATTACAAATAAAAAAGTGGAGATCTCATTTCCTTGTCTTTAGTATTTTTTCGCACCATTTATTCTGATATATGATTCTTTGGTAATTTTGCAGGAAGAGCCAGAGGAAGAGAGTGATGATGATATGGGATTCAGTTTGTTTGATTAGGAGCTCCTTTCAGTGTGTGATTTGGGCATTATGCAATGATGGTAGTTGCTGTTATGAGTTTTATTGGTTTTGATATTTGTCTGTTAATTAGAAGACAATGGCTCTTTTTGAATGAAGTGACGCCGAGTAGTTATTCCTTTTTGAGTTGTATGTTTGAATCTTCCTATATATATAAGTATTCTAGACCAATTTGCCATTTGTCACTGATTGTTGAATTAATATGATTTATTCCATTGCAATGCATGCTTTTGTTTCAGATTGTTGTTTTGATCAGTATTTCGTTGTGCTATTAGTGACATCTCTTGATTTGACCCAACTGACATGATAGTTGTCTATACATGCTAACGGATTCTCGTTAGTACCTTTAACATTGGTGTCATTGCTCATTGGTTGTAAGCTATATTCATTCTCTATTTCTATTTTTGCTGAAAGTAGGTCATTTAAGCATTGCTTTGATATTTTGCTATGTGTTTCATGGATTTAGCAGTTTTCCTTTTCCTTTTGCTAAATGTATTGGCTGGCAGATATAGCATTTTGGTACAAAGAACATTAACTGAATATTCTATTATATCTGTTCTATTCAATTCATCTCCAATTATTTATAACCTTATTATTCCTTTACTAGAAAACCCGTTGTCTTGGATTCTGTAATCTGTCCATGACCGACACATGAAAGCGTTACTTGAGAATACTGTTCTTTCTTTGTCTAAAATTGAAGGGTGATTATCATAGACATAATTGGTATCAGATACAAAATTTTCTAGCGTGGTGCTCTGCTTGCTGGTTGTAATTTGTGACCACGACCAAAATGGTTGGTTGGGACTTGGGACTGGAATCACTTATCAGCAATCCCATAAATGATACTAATGATGACTCAGCATTACCAAGTTAGAATGTTCATTATCAGTTATCGGAAATTGCTACTTTCTTGTACTTGATATCTTTCATGATATAGCTTTACTGCAAAGGACATGACGTTAACATCTCCTGTTAAGTCTATTGATAATAGGAATTTGTATGGTGTGACGGTATCGATAAGCTTGTATAGGTTCCGTTTGAAAAATAATTTTCATATTTTTAAATGTTTGTTTAATAAAAATTTGATCGGTTAATGAAAAATAATTTATTAGTCAATAAAAAATGAGATTTTTTTAAATATTATCTTATAAATTAAAAAAAAAAGATATTTTTTAAAATAGAATTGTTTATGAGTAAAATTATTTATTAATATTTTTTATAATAATTTTACTTATAAGTATTTTTATTTTAAGTATTTTTTATATTAACATAATATTTTAATATTAAATATTATTATTAAAATATAATCATTTTTTAATATTAATAATAAATAATTTTAATATATTTTAATAATAAATAATTTTTAATATTTTAATAGTTATATTAATATTATTCGAAAAAAAGATTTAAAAAAAATCAAATAATAGAAAATATTTTTTTACTAATTTATCCAAATAACAAAAAAAAATTTAATTTAAAAAATAAAAATATTTTTTAAAAATCATTTTTCAAAGTTATTTTTTACGAAGCAAATTGAGACTGAATGTAAGGATTTATGATTGAAAGGGAATACGGATTACAACCTCCAAAATAGGGCTGTCATTATATTGTGCTAGAGGTTGCAAATTTTACAACTTTGTCAGACTAACTCGAATGTATTTCGGTGTTAAAATACCAAAAAACTGTTCTACATAGAAAGTCTGCTGAGGTAATTTTAAAAGTGCAGTTGTTAGGCAAGTGAAAAGAGGAGCAGTATCTTCATTCAAGGAGTTGCAACGTTTTCCTTGGTAAGAGGAGCAATCTCCTCACCATCAATTCCAGGCTCACTGCCAGGGACTCCTAGACTTAGCAGCACCTCCTCCCACTTTTTAGCCGGTCCCTGTGCCAATGCCATTGAGAAATCAACTAATATCAGTCGGGGCAAGTTATTATTTAGATCCTTGGTAGTCAGCCAAGCAGTCACGTACATACTTTATTATAGAATATTATAATCCACGCGTCAAGCTGTTTTTAATACTTGGCAAGAGTAATTACCTTCCATGAGAGATCTTGAGCCATGCAATTCTGTATCATTTCTGCCAGAGCAGAGGTACCATGAGTTGCAAGGGCCCTTTTAACCGTTGTTGCCACTGCGCTTACATCCACGGGATCAACAGCATCACACTGCAAGATCAAATCTGGTTGGTGGAATTTCAAGATTCTTAGCCTCATATGAAGAAAACAATTACGCAGGTGATGTTATTACCTCAACGTTGAAGGCTCCCATTTGAAATCCTGTGAAGCCTTCCTTGACTGTGTCGACCAACCCACCAGTTGAGGCAACGATGGGTATCTATTATAGAAAAGAAAGAAAGACAAAGAAGATACAATTAGTTCGAACATATATTTAAAAGTAGTTAATGTATCAGAGATCTTTTGGGTGGGCTTCATACCGTTCCATAACGCATGGCGTGCAGCTGAATAAGACCACAAGGTTCAAATCTGCTCGGAACCAAAATAAAGTCTGCTCCTGCTATAATCATATGAGCCAACGGAACATTGAATTTTGCTACACCTCGAGCCTTGTCAGGGTACAATATTTCCAACTGTTCAAGCTGCTTCTCCATCAGCTTTTTGCCAGTCCCCTGACATAAATTTGGTAAGCATTAATTCTAGGAAAAATCCATGCCCAATTGTAATTACATTATTAATACAGATGAAAAAAAAAGTTGCCATTTGGATGCTTACAAGGACTACCATCTGAACATTTCCTCTAATGAATTGGGGAATGGCTGCTACAAGAATGTCTGAACCTTTTTGCTCTTCTAGCCTACCTATGAAACCTATGACAGGGATGCTTCTATCCACTGGCAAACCTACTTCAGCTTGGAGGACTTCCTTCAGAAGAGCCTTTGCAGCCATAACCTGAGAGTCTCATATTTGAGTAATCCTGATGCAATGCTAATTATGATTCTCCAGTTCAAGTTCGTAAGTTCTTACAGTTGAAGCATCATATTTGACAGCTATGTATTTGTCTGTCAACGGGTTCCATTCCTGGACATCCATGCCATTCACAATTCCGGTGATGCCAGAATTCCGAAGAATGTTATCCAATTCTACTCCTTTGTCTATGCCAGAAACAAGTTCTTGAGCATAATATGGGCTAACAGTTAAGACCTTGTCTGACTCTATTATGCCAGCTTTCATCCAATTGATTTTCCTTCCCTTGACAGGTTTATCATACCTGCAGAGTAGATTGATTAAACTTTGGTTTAACTGTAAGGAATCCCATTATTTTTGCAAGCTAATTGAGTCTTATACCCATCAATAAAATCAAAAGAGCTTTTGAATTCGTCTGGGAGATTAAGAAGTGAGAAGTCAGCAAAAGCAAATCTTCCTTGGTAAGCAATGTTGTGGATGCAAAAAGCAACCTAGCCATGTAAGAAAGCACAATGTAAGTTGCCTGTGTTAGAGAGTATGCTAGATTTGAAGAATAACAGAGTTTTAATAATATCTGAGCAATTAAATATATTACTTTACTTCTATGCTACGTTGAGATTAGTTGGAAACGAAGAAATTGTTATATCTAGGTGTTTGTACCTTAGATATTTTCACTGTTGGTTTATATACAGTTGTGAGATCTTCTTCTATTGCTCCCATTGCGACTATAATTCTTAATCTTTTATAATTACAGGCAGTTTAATCACCTTACCTTAGCACTTTTGTATATTCCTCTTGGTTTATACATGGATTTCAGGTAGCATGGAATAAGGGCAGTGTGCCAATCATTGGCAATGAAAATAATATCTTCACCTGCATGCAAGAAGATCAGAACATCAGCATTTTCTATGCAATTTAGCATAATCTCTGTTGGTAAGAATCATGTAAATGTCCTTAGTCCTTACTATATGGCCCTGAGAAATATTTACTGCTGCTAAGGTTCAGAACCCTCGGTGCTTCCAAAGCAGCCTAAAATCCGTAAATTAGCAAAATTTGAGTGCGAACACCAGGCAGTAGCAACAGAGAAAGCAATGAACTGGTTGACAAAATTACATGCATAAATCTTTTGATTAACCAAGCAATGTAGAGAGAATAGCATGCTTGATGGAGGTGGGAGGCTACAACCTGGCATAACAAGCTGAACCTAAGTTGGTTGTCTTCATAGTCCTCGCCAGCAATTGGGCCATAGATTTTGGATACGGTTTTTCCCCATACCTGATATTCATTCATGTTATAAGAGTACCTTAGTTATGATTTCTGACTGATCAGAATATATTGTCTATGATGTAGAAGGAAAAAATTCTGATTCACAAGAACCGACCTTTTCAAGAAACATAGGGTGATCCACGAACACGCGATCAACTCCTCGTTTGTAGCAGTGGAAGAAGCGGACTTTCTCGGTTCTATCTCCAACTTCAACCTATAGCATTTCAAAGGGTGTATGTGCATTTATATGAGGAATTACGGGAACATTGCTGAAATAGAAACCTCCTGGAAGGAGATGATTTTTGAAGTTTCCGCAGGAAGGAAGGAAAAGTACCTCAACAATAACCCCTGTATCCCAGGCATCCTTGTACTGGTCATAACGTGGAGCGATAGTCATGACACGATGGCCATTGGCCTAGAGGAGGATAAGTTTTGGTGAATTATGCTTTCTTCAAACTCTACATGCACCAATAGATAAATAATTGAATACTACATTTTAGGGGACAATGCATTATGAGCTCACCACCATTGCAGGTGGCAGACCTCCAAGAACGTCTCCAAGTCCACCAGTCTTGCTCCATGGACCTACCTCCATTCCAACAAAACTCATAGTCATCCCACAAACAATAGTTCTTGAAGGCCTGGCCTCCTCACTTTTGAATTTTCTCTGTTGGGTTGTTACTTTCGCTATTCTTCTAATCCGGCATTCATCCACTGAGTTCAAACTTCTTAATCCTTTGTGAGTCATAGACAGTTTAGATTCTAATGACCTGATTTTCGTCAGTGTTGCTTTAAGTTCATATCTAGATGCCATTCCATTGTTGACATGCATGGCTTTGTATGCAAAGCTGGAAGCTGAAGCTGAAGCTGAAGCTGTAGCAGTCATTGGAGATTGTTTGTTCTGCAAAGATCAGTGGCAGAACATCATGATAGTCAAAAAAAGGCTTTGCATAATGGTCAATAACACACTTGAACAAAATTTAATAAGTGCGAAAATATAGCTTTGTGGGTGTAGAGCAACTGCCCCTTCTGCTTACAATTGCTCACCTTTTTTTTTTTTTTTTGCTTATTTCCAGTTTTCACCTTGTCTATGAACAAGCGTCAATCGAGCACATACATACTAAGAAACCAAGAGAAGGTTCAGGGATCAGCTCTGGTTGTATGGCTTCCTAGTCAAATCCTTGAACCTTGTTCAATCCTTAAACACGGGCATCAATTCTTGCAAATCTACCTGAATTTATGGACACCCAGACTTGAGAATTCAAACTATTTGAATTTTCCCTTTTTTTTTTTTTAAATTTTATGGTCAGGACACCTAAGTTCAACATCTGTTCTATGTCTCTATCATGTCACCATGGAATTGAAGCTCCACAAGGTTGAGGGAGCACTAAAGAAAACACTGCAGAATGCGTTAGAAAACATGAAGATTGAACAGATAAATGGTGAGAAACATGTTTTATGTATGTATCAATCTGCTTAAAGTATAAGCATACAAAGCAAGGAGAACTACTGGCACTGACTTGCTATATATTTCTGTTTCAAACTTCCAAGCAGTCGTTGATCAGGATGCTGAATGAAATTCCTGCCCTGCCAAGCTGCAGTCAAGTTTGCTTGGTTCTGAAACTCTGAAAGTGAAGGTCCCCTGCATCGTATATTTATCATTTCTACCGTTAAGAGCTGGTGGTCGTACAATCCACATGGCAAGTAGAGGATGGCTAGGCGTATTACGTTGGCTTGGCACCTCACAAGGTTTTGCACGGCTAACATTAATTTGAGATCGTTGGAGCGGACTCAGCCTTCTTTTTGACCATTTCATAGAACTAACGCATAAATGGAATATACCAAAAGGATTTTGTTTTTTCTTTTTAAACTCTCAATTTTCTTTTTGGCAAAAAAAAAAAAGAAAACTCTCAATTTTCTTTTTCCATCTCTAAAATTCATAAAAATATTAATATTATTAAATGAATTTTTTAAAATATAGGGAAACTATTTTAAATAAAACCAATAAAAGCATCCTACGTCCTTAGGGAAAGTATTTATTTTTAAAGCAGTGAAAAAAAAAAGGGGTCTAGAGAATGTGTAAGTGAAATCAACGTGAAATAGTGACCTGTCACCGCCTAAACTCTTCAAACAATGAACTTTGTTCACTCAACTACCGGCGAAGATATTTCCAAGAATTAACGCCTGAGTTTTAATTGACAACGAGAAAGCTTCCCCAGTATGGAACTCGACCTTGACTCTTTACTTGAGTCACACCTCTCCTCCGATTCCGGCGACGATTCAAACTCCGTCCCTCACCGAACCATCGATGAAATCCTCAACGACTCTGATTCCTCCACGTCCTCCTTCTCACCCTCGTCGCCTACCTCTACTCATCACCTCCCCGGTAATCGCGTTGCCCGGTCACATACTCTTCCGCAAGATTTCGTGGAATCCCTGAAGGAAAGTGATGCCCTTTCACAAGGACCAGCGGAATCGTCGAAGCCTAGCCCGTTCACACGGATTGGGGATCCGGTATGGAGGGTATCTTCATCTTCTTCTTCTTCCTCAAAACAATTGCCGACTCTGTTTGGCGGAGTGAAATCAAATGCGAAACCAGGGGCAGCACTCGCAGCAGCTGCTGCGGCGTCGAGGTCGGTTCCAACGCCACATGCTGCGGCGATCAAGTCGAGGAGGGCGGGGAGCGGTGGGGTTCCCCAGAAAGTTATAGATAGTGACGAACATGAGGTGAGCTTACTGAATTGGGAATCAGTTGGGGTTAGCTCGGAATCAAGCGTTTCGGGTGAAAAATTAGATATTGATGACTATAATAATGATAATAAAATGGGCGATTTTCAATCTGCTGATGCCCATGAAAATGGTGAGGCTATTGATAAAAAAGATAAAGAAAGTGAAACGGATAAGGTAATTGAACGAGTGGATGGCTCTTCTAAGCGTGACTTTGATGAGAACTTGAATAAAGAAGTTACAGTTTTGGGTTCGGATGAAGTCTTAGCTAAAGAAATTGCCCCTGTTTCCGTGTATGAGAATTCTGTGGTTCTTGATGCTAATGATTCATATCAAAAGAGCGTTTCGTCTTTGCCTGACATTGATCAGGAGAGAAATATAGATAAGGACTTACAGATTGTGGATTGGGAAAGAGAGAATGTAGCGAATGATATTCCTAGTCTTGAAGATGGTGAGGAACGTGTGTCTGGTGGTGCTGATGGTGCGGATGGTGATGATGCAATTTCAATAAGTGATATTTCAGAGCTTGTAGAGGAGAGATTGGAGCAACTAGAGAGTGAGAGGATAAGTAGAAGGGTGGAGAAGAATTCACGTGCTACAATGAAGCCACTTGAATTGGCGGAGGAGCTTGAGAAGAAGCAGGCTTCTACCGGCTTGCATTGGGAGGAGGGTGCAGCTGCTCAACCAATGCGGCTTGAGGGTGTTAAGAGGGGTTCAACCACATTGGGATACTTTGATGTTGAGGTTAACAATGCAATCTCTCGGACTCTTTCATCACAGGCATTCAGGCGTGATCATGGCTCCCCTCAAGTTTTGGCAGTTCATCTGAATTTTGTTGCTGTGGGCATGACTAAAGGAGTCATCATCCTAGTGCCCAGTAAATACTCAGCTCATCATGCTGACAGCATGGACTCTAAGGTGCTTAATTGCTCTAATTTCTACCTATGGTTGCATTTCTGTGGAATTATATGCCTTTTAAAGTTGTTTAATTCTGCTTCTTTTTTGTTAAAGACAAATTTAAGGGTAGTAGGAAAATAGTCTTCTGACAATGCATTCTAATGCCTGAAAACAATAAAATTTAGTATCAAATAGTGGCTTGATGGATTGAAATTGGGAAGATTTAATCGTATCGTATCTTGTGAATGCATTACGACTAAAAAGAGATGATGCAGTAGCTTGACAAGATTTAAAGAAACACATACTTGAAATCAGAGGCTTGTTAAGACATGCCTTCACATATTTTACAGATCTTCTTTTATTCCTTGTTTTCTTCACTAGCAAAATTGCAATTCACAGGGTTGAACCTTGGTATTGTAGTTATCCATGTTGACTTCTAATGGAATTGAGGACTGTATGATGAACTTTGAAGCTTCATTATGCATGCATTTATAAAACTTTCTTAAATTTGATTTTCCATTTGTAATTTAATTTTTATGAGTTAACTTCACTGTTTAATTATGTCATATGTATTCTAGATGGTGATACTTGGTTTGCAAGGGGATCGTTCCCTAGCCCCTGTAACATCCATATGCTTCAATCAGCCAGGAGACCTGCTCTTAGCTGGCTATGGTGATGGTCATGTTACAGTTTGGGATGTTCAGAGGGCATCAGCAGTAAAAGTTATTACTGGAGAACATTCTGCACCAGTGATACATACTTTATTTCTGGGGCAGGATTCTCAAGTAACTCGCCAATTTAAAGCAGTGACTGGGGATAGTAAAGGCTTGGTCCTCTTACATGCTTTCTCAGTTGTTCCCTTGCTTAATAGGTTCTCCAGCAAAACACAGGTAAAAAGTTAACATTGAGATAATGTTCTAACATTGTTGTTCCCTTGCTTAATAGATTCTCGATCAAAACACAGGTAAAAAGTTAACATTGAGATAAGCATATTTGCATGGAGGATCTACTTAATTCTAAACTGATATTCAATTGTCAACAATGTTATACGTCTCATGTTGATAATGTTCTAATATTGATTGAAATAGTGTCTTCTTGATGGACAAAGAACGGGCACTGTATTGTCAGCTTCCCCCCTTCTTTTTGACGATTCATGTGGGAGCACTTTGGTAACCTCTCAAGGGAATACTACATTTTCTACTAGCAGTATTGGTAGCAAGGTGGGAGGTGTAGTTGGGGGAGATGCAGGTTGGAAACTCTTTGCTGAAGGCTCCTCTATGGTTGAAGAAGGTGTGGTCATATTTGTCACCTATCAAACTGCTCTGGTGGTATGAAGTCTGGATGGTTGCACAAATTCCATGTATCTTTTATGTTGAGTATTACGTTCGCATTTTTCCGGACAGTTCTTATTCATCATTTGCTGAAGCCACTTTTATCATCTATAGGTAAGGCTTACTCCAACATTAGAAGTCTATGCACAACTTTCAAGGCCAGATGGTGTACGGGAGGGTTCCATGCCTTACACTGCATGGACATGTATGACCCAGCCTTGTGGTTCTTCATCAGGTATAGAGTGATTGAGGTTGTTAAGTTTCACATTGACAACTTTCTGATATATGAATATGCTGCAGAAAATGCACCAACAGAAACAGCAGAAAGAGTTTCGCTACTTGCACTTGCATGGGATCGGAAAGTTCAGGTTGCAAAGTTGGTCAAATCAGACCTGAAAGTGTATGGGAAATGGTCTCTTGACAGTTCAGCCATAGGTGTGGCTTGGTTGGATGATCATGTATGCATGGTTTTGTTTGTTTGATCACACAGGCATTTTGCTTCTTCTGGATTTTATTGTGCGTCTATTTTTTCCTTCATAAAAACAATTTGCTAATGGAGGCTTTCATGCTTGTACAGATGATGGTGGTTCTTACAATGACAGGACAGCTCTACTTGTTTGCTAGGGATGGAACTGTGATTCACCAAACTGCTTTCACTGTAGATGGTTTGGGAGGAGATGATCTCATTGCATATCATACTCACTTCATTAATGTCTTTGGAAACCCTGAAAAAGCTTATCATAATTGTGTGACTGTGAGAGGAGCTTCCGTATATATACTGGGACCTATGCACCTTGCTGTCTGCCGACTTCTTCCATGGAAGGAACGGATTCAGGTTCTACGGAAAGCCGGTGACTGGATGGGAGCTTTGAATATGGCAATGACACTTTATGATGGTCAAGCCCATGGTGTTATTGACCTTCCTAGAAACCTGAATGCGGTGCAGGAGGCCATAATGCCCTATCTTGTAGAGTTGCTTTTGTCATATGTAGATGAAGTGTTTTCCTATATTTCAGTTGCATTTTGTAACCAAATTGGTAAAAAGGAGCAGCCAGATGACCCGGAAAGTAGAAGCAGTTCTGTGCACTCTGAAATAAAAGAGCAATTCACCCGTGTTGGTGGTGTTGCTGTTGAATTTTGTGTCCATATTAAGAGAACTGACATTCTTTTTGATGAAATTTTCTCCAAATTTGTGGCTATTCAGCAAAGAGGTATTACACAATGCTCATTTTATGCCTGCAATAATTACTTCTATTTTCATTTCTGTTTGATATTAAAGTTGAGATCTACATGCCAAGTCAGACAACTAATGATGTGGAATAATTATCTTTCTGGTATAATTGCTGTAACCAAAGCTTAAGGAAAGAAAGTCATGTCTGATATCTGGTAAACTTGGCCCTGTTTGTGATGGACATTGCACATCCAATGGACTCAAGCTGGAGTGGATTCTTATCAGCTATTGTTGTTGGAACTAGTTTTTGAATATAATAAATATGCATAGTTTTTATGAATTCCTTATTCACCTAAAAATTCCTAACCCAAACCTAACAACAAAAATGTAATTTTTACTTGCATCTTTGTGGGGCGGACTTTCACTAGAAAACCATTTAAGTGTTTTAACAGCAGAGCTTGAGCACTTGGGAAGATATTGAAAAGAATGATGCTTAGTGGGTTTTAATTGTTGAAGTAACTCTTATCTTAGATATTATTTATTTGCTGTCTTGGTATTTGAGTTATGAATGACTTATAACCAGTATCAGTATAGTGGCTCTTTTGCTCATGGTTGTTTGTGTAGTGACATTTGAGTTAAGTGATATTTCCTTCATCAAATTTGTGGTATCCTTAGTTTAGTATCTCTGAAGATGAGCATAATATAATGTTTCCAAGGATGACCTCTTTGTTTGGCACTCTTTACACATATATTGATAGATTTCTGAGTAGTTTGCTCTTTTATCTTCTAGATACATTTTTAGAGCTTTTGGAGCCATACATACTGAAGGATATGCTTGGATGTTTGCCTCCTGAGGTACCATTTAATGTTAAATATGTAGCTCTACTCTTGAGTCTTTACCTTAAAGATACATTTTGATATTACATTCACTTTGTTGGAAAGATAATGCAAGCACTGGTAGAGCATTACAGCAGCAAAGGATGGTTGCAGCGAGTGGAACAGTGTGTTCTTCACATGGATATTTCTTCTTTGGACTTCAATCAGGTTATTATATGTGTTCTACATGTCTTTTGGTTGCTTTCTTGTTGTCTTTCTTTTTTTATCACAAATTTTTTTATTAATTTTCCCTATTGATATTATAGGTTGTCATTTTATGCCGGGAGCATGGTTTGTATGGTGCTCTGGTGTATCTTTTCAACAAAGGATTAGATGATTACAGGGCACCTTTAGAGGAGTTGTTGGTAGTTTTACGAAATAGTCAAAGAGAAAGTGCTTCTGGCCTTGGGTAAGTTAGATGGACATCTGTGTTGATTAAGAGCGTACAGGCTTTCTTTTACTTGATGGGATTCAAGATGATACTTGCTTAGTTACAGGATAGATTCTATTTTGATCCAGAAGCATACAAGATATTGAACATAGCTACCTTTTGTTCTTTACTCCTTGGACGTTGGTCCATTCTTAAGTCTAAACCTGTTAAATAAATTGTCCCTGTGAGCAGTCTAATCTCCAAGGCATTAAGGTGGCTTCTACCTTACTCAGCTAATTTTAGCAAATTTGAGATAAAACAGATGAAACAATTATGTGTCTATTCGCAGAAACTAACACGTATAGGTACACTTGTTTTAATCTTCTTTAGATTTTTTCTTATAAAATGTGGAGGACTTGAAATGATATGAAGGTAGAGGTGCAAACCATGAGGTTTAATCTGATATATTGCTTTTTCTTGCTTGTTCAGCTGCCTAAATAAAACAGAAGCAACAAGATATATTGGAGTAACTTCTCACACTCTATGATGTTAGTTTACAAGTTTATAAAATATTTTCGCCTGATAGTATTATATAGGTTGTTCTCTGAAAGCCTTCTTACAAGATTTGGGGAACAAAAAATTGCATTATTTACTGGAAATATTACTTTTCCACTTTATTTAGATTAATGGCAATTTTATAATCGTGTGGTATTTTAAATTCATTATATATTTAATATTGTATTTTTTTTGGTCTTCATATTATTAGCTTTCTATCATACTTACATTTGTTCATCTTATCAGGTACAGGATGCTTGTTTACTTGAAGTACTGCTTTACAGGTCTTGCTTTTCCACCAGGTATGAGTATTGTTTTATTGAATTAATGAAAAGATGCATTCTGTTAATTCTTGACAATTAAAAATTAATATAAAAAAATAACTGTCTTTCCTGACTGTGGATCTGGAACTGGGTTGATCCATAGAAAGTTAAGTGACCTGTAACAGATGTGGAATTTGTTTGTCTAATTGCTACTTGCTTCAATAACAAACATTTGACATGCTGTCCTATGCATTGGCTTATTGAAAATGACATTTTATATTAACTTTTATTTTATAGCAACATTGAACTTTTATTTCTAGTGAGTGGCGCAAGAAGATTCAAACCTACGACCTAACATGATTCCCTTTTTCTGGACTTTGATACAGCCGACCCTAGAGTTATGGCATATAAGGCTTAATTTGTTGTTGTTGTTGTATTAAACTTGTATTTCTAGGGATTTTGCTTTTCTGAACTAGTATGCAGACCTGATATATTTTTGAATTATTTAATGTTTAGTCCTTGCTTTGGAAATGGTTGAGGCTGATCATTTGCACAATTTTATTCTAAGAAACATTGGCAGCATTGAATCTGTTAGTTATCACTGAAATATCACAATTCTCTATCCACAGGACATGGTACTCTTCCACCGTCACGCTTGTCGTCTCTTAGGACAGAACTTCTGCAGTTTTTGTTAGAGGTTTCTGATGGCCATAATCGAAAATCAGCTTCAAGGTTGGCTTTTGAAGGGGCATACCTTAACATGTATTATCTCTTAGAGTTAGATACTGAGGCTACTTTAGATGTTCTCAAATGTGCTTTCATAGAAGACAAATTCCCCGAACCAGACTCTTTTTCTGAGCCTGGCAATGCAAATGCAGAAGCTAAAAAGGAAAAAGATTTGATGGCTGAATCCGAAATTATGTTGGTTCAGAATACCATCAACGCACTAGTTCATGTTCTTGATAAGAATGTCTCTCGAACAGATGGGCTTGCAACCAGTGATAATGCTGAATCGATAGAAGCATGGCCTTCAAAAAAGGACATGGGATATCTGTTTGAGTTCATTGCATACTACGTTGCATGTGGAAGAGCTAAAATCTCAAAAACTGTTCTAAACCAGATTTTGGAATTCTTGACTTTAGAAAATAATGGTCCACAAAGTGTTTCAACCATTAGCACCGAAACACCAAAAAGAAGAGAGAAGCAATTGCTTGCACTCTTAGAGGTAGTGCCAGAGACTGATTGGAATCAATCTTATGTGTTACAACTATGTGAGAATGCACTCTTTTACCAGGTATCTTTACCATGTTATTCTTGAAATTCTCACTGTGAGCATAATGTGAGGGTTTAGATTTTCTCTCTTCAGGTCTTCCTTAAGCATTGTGTTGTTATGTTTAGGTTTGTGGCTTAATTCATGCCATTAGACATCAGTATCTTGCTGCTCTCGATAGCTATATGAAGGATGTGGAGGAGCCAATTCATGCCTTCGCTTTTATCAACAATACGTTAATGAAGCTGAGTGATGGAGATTATACCACTTTTCGATCAGCAGTCATCTCTCGAATTCCAGAGCTGGTCAATTTAAGTAGGTAATACTTGTGAATTTCAGAATTGTCTCTGTTTGATGTTTTCATCTTTAAAAAGATTGTTTCTGCTGTTCTAGAAATTGTTTCTTCCAATATCGACCTTATGCTTTTATGAACTTTTGCAGAGAGGGTACATTCTTCTTAGTTATTGACCACTTTAATGATGAAAGTTCGCATATCCTAACTGAACTTAACTCTCATCCAAATAGTCTTTTCCTTTACTTAAAGACGGTCATCGAGGTTCACTTATCAGGCACCCTTAACTTCTCTTATTTAAGAGAAGAAAAGATTGTAGATGTCTTTAGTGGAAGAAAGGGGAAAGATCCGTCAAAAGAACTTGAAGCATACTTGGAAAGAATGTCTAATTTCCCTAAGTTCTTGCGAAGTAATCCTCTTCATGTAACTGATGATATGATTGAGCTTTATCTGGAGGTGAGTGCCTATGCTTTAATAGCATACAACTGTGCACTTCCCTTTGCTGCCCTGTAGGAATGCACAGCTTTAAGTCACTTTGTATGGCATTTGTTATTTGTCGTATCATTTAACTTTCATTTTATATTATCTTATATTTTAACTTAAGCTTTCTGGTTCAAGGGAAATAACTAGAGAGGAAAGTGAGTACTGAGTTAAAATTTTGTTCTTATGATTTATGTTGGCCACTTTTCATTATCCTGCCTCTTCTGATTTTCCTTTTGCAGTTATTATGTCAGTTTGAACGGGATTCAGTTCTCAAGTTCTTGGAAACTTTTGATAGCTATCGAGTTGAACACTGTCTACGCCTGTGCCAGGAATATGGAATAATAGATGCAGCTGCATTTTTATTAGAAAGGGTTGGTGATGTTGGTAGTGCTCTTTTGCTGACTCTTTCTGGTCTTAATGATAAATTTACAGAGCTTGATACTGCTGTCGGAAGTGTGGTCTCTAAGATGTCTTTAGGTAGATCTGCTAGCATGGAGCATTTCAACTCTGCTTTAAAAATGAAGGAGGTTTGTACTACTCTTGGATTAGGAAATCCAGCTAAGATCTTTTATTTCATTTTTCGTCGGATAACTGGAAACCTTGATGTTATTTCTGATCTTCATCAAACAGGTGAATGATATACGCAATATATTGCATGCCTGTATTGAATTGTGCCAACGGAATACCCCTCGTTTGAATCCGGAAGAGTCTGAGATGCTTTGGTTTAGATTACTTGACTCGTAAGTTCAACATATTCATTGATTTGCTTTTCTCCAAATTTTAAGCCTTCTATTATATGTTTTCAATGTTCTGCTAAGTATTGATAAATGATTTGTATAAAGCTACAGATCTACTTTAGACAACTAAAAATGCATCATTACTTTCTCATTTTCCTTATTTAAATCTGAAACTCATTATTTTTGGCATGAGACATGATAGCAGATTAGATATAGTTAACCAGTTAATTGGAGATTCCATTATAGGTGATATAAAGACATCTATGGTGAAATACCTTCAAATTAATAAAGATGGAGAGAGAGAGAGAGAGAGAGAGAGAGAGAGAGAGCTTAAAATCTATAATAAACAAGAAAGTAGAGATTGAGGTATTTGGGGAAAGACGGAAAAAGGAAGGGTGAAAACTGCTATAATCTCCAAATACATGGGCATTTTACTCTTTCCTATGCTTACCAACCTCTGAATTTCAATGCAGATTTTGTGAACCTTTGATGGGTTCATACTGCGATGAAAGCGTATCTGAGAAGGAAAATCCTGTGGGAATGCTGATTGAGTCATTGGGTTCTCAAGAGGAAGAGGAATGCATAATCAAGTGGAGGATCCCAAAATCTCACAAAAGTGGTAACATATTGAGGAAATTGTTCTCTCAATTCATCAAAGAGATTGTTGAGGGAATGATAGGATATGTTCGTCTTCCAACTATCATGTCAAAACTCCTATCTGATAATGGTAGCCAGGAATTTGGAGATTTTAAGCTTACCATATTGGGAATGCTGGGAACTTATGGCTTTGAAAGAAGAATTCTGGTATGTTTGTTTATTTTGAGTATAAATATAGTTTATATACTTGTAACCGAATTTCGTTGAAGCTTTATTTTATTGTTGTCATTTTTTTCTTTTAAAAAAGAAATCTGCATACCAAGAAGCATGAACCTGCCATTCACATGCACCACATGCTACATCCTGTCCTTGTAAATAGGTTAGTGCATTAGTAGGCCATACAAAGTCCTTGATGACTATAAATTTGCTTACATATTTGTGAATTCCAATTTGTAAATTTAATCCTCCCAATGTTTCTAGTTCATCGTCAGAACTAACCCAGGAACCTTTACCCACAGGCCACATCTCAATTCATCAAATTTATTCTCACAGCTGATGCTATAAATCTAGAATTGGGCGCATTTAAAAGGAGCAAAAGCCATGATTCTGTTAGTATGTTGTATATACTACACCAGTATATACTACATAAGTGGGCAATGAAATATGCAGCAAGGCTTTATTTCTGAAATGACATTTGACTTTAGTGCAATAACTAACTGTTCCCAACCCGTTTCTTTTAAGTTGGATTTGATAGGAACTTAATAATACTTTTCTAATTTTTTGGCCAGTTAATAATACTCTTCCTTTTTTTGGCCAATTAATAATACTCTTATTTTGATAATAATTTTCTATGAGTAATTTTAATGTTAAATTTTTGTATGAAATTTTTTTTAGGTTAATTTTAGTTCTTTTTTTTTAATTTTTAAATTTCAGGATACTGCCAAATCTTTGATCGAGGATGACACATTTTATACCATGAGCTTACTGAAGAAGGGAGCTTCTCATGGATATGCTCCTCGAAGTTTACTATGTTGTATATGCAACAGCCTTCTTACCAAGAATTCTTCTAGCTTTCGTGTTCGAGTTTTCAGTTGTGGTCATGCAACGCATCTTCAATGTGAGCTTCTGGAAAATGAGGCATCAACTAGAGGCTTCTCATCTGGATGCCCCATTTGTTTGCCTAAGAAGAATACTCAGAAGTCTAGAAATAAATCTGCACTTACAGAGAATGGTTTAGTTAGTTCATTGCCCTCAAGACCTCTACCAGCCCAAGGATCAACGTTATACCCTCACGAAAATGATGCACTAGATAATTCTTATGGCCTTCAGCAAATATCAAGGGTAAAATCCATTTTGTCTGTTCTATTTAATTGCTGCTTTGGTCAGGCATTATATATATAAACGAAATTTTGATTTTGCAGTTTGAAATTTTAAGTAACCTTCAAAAAGACCAGAGATTAGGCCAGATAGAAAATTTACCTCAGTTGAGGCTTGCACCGCCAGCTATTTATCATGAAAAAGTGAAGAAGGGAAGTGAACTGTTAGCAGGAGAAAGCAGCAGTAATGTTGGTGCAATAGAAAAACCAAGTAAAAGCAGGCAACTGAAGGAGCTAAAGTTAAAGGGATCATCTCTCAGATTCCCACTAAAATCAAGTATATTTGGTGAGTTCAATTATTACTAACTTAATCATCTGTTAGATATTATCTATCTTGCTTTTAACCATTGGAGAATTATTTTCGCAGGTAAGGAGAAAATAAGCAAATGATAGGAGAATTGGCATGTATAGACTGACGATCCTAGAGATGAACTTCCTCTGAGGCTGTTGTATAGCTATTGAAAAAATACGTCAATTAAATCCATGATGATTTGAGGTTTTGATTAGTCAAATTTGTTCCCTGTTTCTTCCCACCCTCGTATTTGATTTGTGTCAAATATGAAGATTGTTGTCATTGTTAAATTGTACTTTGTAAATATGATAATTTAAAAAAAAATGATATTTCTGATCTGGAAATTAAAAACTTTGATTGAAAAAGACATGGACCGCATCAACTGCCTTTATGCCGGGTTGGAGGTTGAAATTCAGCGCTGAGTACATACGGCCTTATCAAGTTGAAGCCCATATCCTAAACATGATGAAATTTGGCCTTTAACAGAAGGGAGCAAGATTTTTTATCCAAGGCCACTTGAATTTGGATTCTATTACAGCAGGGTACTTTCTTTTTGTTTGTCAAGCCGAAACCAAATTTGGCTCTTTTCACATCGTTTTCTATTTTGGGTAGGTAATAGGTACTATTAATCACTTGTAACTTTAAATAAAATGATCCCAAAATGAAAAGGATCAAAAGCTAAACTTAAACCTATCCAAAATTTAATTTTAACCAATGCAAACTTAAAACCATCCAATGTGATTAAGAATCAGTTTGCCTAATTGTTGCTTTGATCACTCGGGTGGGCTAATTTTTACAAATGTAATTACTATTGAGAAGATTTTGGAAAGGCAAAACCAAAAAAAAAAGGAACTTGAAGGATAGCCAACGACACGGTTCGTTTGAGCAAATTGATTGGAGAATCAGCAAAAATCGACAACTGACAGAAACAAAGGCACATTCACACACTTTTCCAAGTCCCCAAATGTCAAAGACCCAAGGCAAAAGAAAGAAGCAACAAGAATCACAAATTACTAACTGACTTTACAAAGACAAAGCCCGTTGAAGTCCCCAAGTGCGTTTATGTGTCGTTAAGTTTGGTGGCTTTCCTTTCTTTTCTACTTCTTCAAATCCTTCCTTCCAGGCGATTATTCCCAAGCCCTTTCCCTCGTTTCCTCCGCCCCTTTTCCCTACCCTTCCTTTCTTTTATATCTCTCCCCTCTTTTCCTTCCTTTTCCTCTCAACCTCCCATTTTCTCTCCTTTCCTCGTCCCGGCAGACGCTAAAATCAAAACAGAAAAATGTCTACCGCTTTCTCCGCTGCCAAGTTCACTTCCCCTCCTTTCCCTCTCAGATCTCACGACAAGCCCCTCTTTGACCCTCTCAAAATCCCCAACGCCACCTCACCCTTCCTCGGATCCACTCGCAAAATCCGCCGTAGTTCTTCTACCAAATTGAATCTCCACCGTCGATCTGGGACAGTTGTCGCCGTCTCCGATGTCGTCAAGGAAAAGAAATCCAAATCCACCTCCAGTCTGGTAAACCCATTTTTTTTTCTGTTACATTGTAATTAAGTTTTTTAGTCATATTTGTTTCATAACAAATCTAGATTTTTATTCAAAATTTCCTTTTTTTTTCAGTTAATTACGAAAGAGGAGGGATTGGAATTGTACGAAGATATGGTATTAGGAAGAGCATTTGAAGATATGTGTGCTCAGATGTATTACAGAGGCAAAATGTTTGGTTTTGTTCATCTTTATAACGGCCAAGAAGCTGTTTCAACTGGTTTTATTAAACTCTTAAAGCAACAAGATTCTGTCGTAAGCACTTATCGTGATCACGTGCACGCCTTAAGCAAAGGCGTCCCTGCACGTGCTGTCATGAGCGAACTCTTCGGTAAGACCACCGGCTGCTGCCGTGGCCAAGGTGGGTCGATGCATATGTTTTCCAGTGAACACAATTTGCTTGGTGGGTTTGCTTTTATTGGTGAAGGAATTCCGGTTGCCACGGGAGCGGCTTTTACCTCTAAGTATAAAAGGGAGGTTTTGAAAGAAGCGGATTGTGATCATGTCACTTTGGCGTTTTTCGGGGATGGGACTTGTAATAATGGGCAGTTCTTTGAGTGTTTGAATATGGCGGCGCTGTGGAAATTGCCAATTGTGTTTGTCGTTGAGAATAATTTGTGGGCTATTGGGATGTCGCATTTGAGGGCTACTTCTGATCCTCAGATTTATAAGAAAGGACCGGCTTTTGGGATGCCTGGTATTCATGTCGATGGGATGGATGTTTTGAAGGTGAGGGAAGTGGCTAAAGAGGCAATTGCCAGGGCTAGAAGAGGAGAAGGTCCAACATTGGTGGAATGTGAGACATATAGGTTCAGAGGGCACTCATTGGCTGATCCTGATGAGCTTCGTGACCCTGGTAAGCATTTGACTTTCTTTTCTTATTTATTACTGCTTTATGATTTAAATTGCTAATTCTAGTCTTTCGGCCTTTTCGTTAACATTGCAGTTTTTGATGATGAAACAAGAACAACCTGCATGTGTCACGGGACCGGTTATCCACTCATCCTGCATAGTCTCGGCCAGTGACACATGCATGTGTATTGTACCGATCCTGAATATTGTCTTAAAGTTTAAGTGATTACTTTATTTTCTAAACTTTGTATGTTCCATAAAGATCTGCTTGTTATGTTATGGTTAAAGCATGCTGATTGAAGTTAAATGATTGAATGCTGAATTCTTAGTGGTTGGTTTCTAAGCGAATTACTGATGTAGAGGGAGATTTTACTTCTGTTCTTAATTTGGATCTTAAGAGTTTATAAATGTATTCTTTTTCAATTTCTCCGTTCTTCTTTGGCAGCTGAGAAGGCTCACTACGCTGCAAGAGATCCCATCACTGCCCTGAAGAAGTACCTCATTGAGAACAGTCTGGCCAGTGAAGCAGAGTTAAAGGCCATAGATAAAAAGATAGATGAGGTGGTGGAGGATGCTGTTGAGTTTGCAGATGAAAGCCCTCTTCCTTCTCGGAGCCAGCTGCTCGAAAATGTATTTGCAGATCCAAAAGGTTTTGGAATAGGACCTGATGGCCGGTATAGATGTGAGGATCCAAAATTCACCGAAGGCACTGCTCATGTCTAAGCTTTCAAAGTAGGACAATGATCAATCTATTTATGCTCATTTTTTATTATGCATGGTCTCATGTATCTAGTTTGTGCTAGCAATCTCTTGTTTACCTCTATTTAGTGTTTCTTGTGTAACAGGTATGTGTTCTTTAGGATGTCTGCTTATTTAAAATTTTGGTTTCGTAATTAACTTTTCATTTGTTACTTGGACAAATGCTTTGAATGGCAAAATCCCCGGGAAGGGTTGGTTGGCCCCAATTTCCTGCCATGCTCAGTTTGATGCTTCATATTTTACCATTTTCTATTAAGGTTCCTTTCGCAAATCGCATTGCAGCCACTTAAATCTGCCTAGATTTACCTTATCTGTCAGCTAATGCGTTGCCCTTCAGTGAAAAAAAAAATTCCCTTGCATTTGCCTAAGAATTTTAGTTGGTATAGCATTACGTTACATCCATGATGCATATTTAGTAGAGTAGTTTTATAGTCCTAGTGGTAATATGCATGGAGGAATGACAAAATAATTCAAAATACAAAGGAATTGTGAATATGGAGCATGTTTTGTTGTTTGTTCTATTTGTGGTAAAAGAAAAAAATTTACACTCTTTATCATACTAAATTATATTTTATAACAATAAGTGAAAGTAGGTAAGGTTTTTATACCATAGTCATTGTCTGTTTTGTTGTGGCTAGGTGACAGTCGTTTGGTCTTTTGTTGTTTAACTAGAATAGGAGGCTAGTTCAGCTAACATGGGTGTCGAACTTGTTGGTCTCTTTTCAACAAAATTGGCTTCACCATGGTCACTTTCACATTTCATCGATGGCCCCAAAAATATGGTCGGGCCTTTGCTAATGTTATAGAGTCCATCAGGCTTAAGTACTTATCAGTTGGTTCCTTCTAGGAAAAAAAAGAGAGAATCATTTGGCATCGTTTTTCAAAATTAAAATTCCACAATTTGCACACGACACTCGTATCTTGAAACTACATATAATTTAGGAACTCTTCGTTTAATTCTTCATTCCTAAATGGCTCCAGATTTCATAAATATTTGGTTTTATTCAAGCTCTGACAAGAAAAAAAATCCCACTTTCTTGTAAATATTTTGGAAGTTAGAACCATATTCCTTAGGAACACGACAAATTAGGCCCAACTGTTAATTGCAAATAGGTAAAGATCGATACAAAATTTGCTTGAAAAAACTTTTGCAACAGTTACCATCTGATTTTAATATTGGTAAAAAATTTTGTGGACAACGGAAATACATCGTTAAAACTGCAATAAAGTATACCCTTAATTGAATCAAACTGCTTGCCATCAAAACTTCTGTCTTTCTGTGGATCCAAACATCACTTAGCAAATGGCATCTCTGCATCAGGCTTCCATAAGGGTAGCGAGGCGGACAACCTGCAATGCAATCACCCTATAACAATATCAAACGACTAGAAGCAATAATATGACTTGTATATACTATTGCCAACATTTTTGAATTGCTTAAACAAGGTAGTTGAAAACACTAACCAAAATTATAAATAGGCCAGAAAAGTATTGAATCCCCTATAAATCTTGGTCTACTTCAGTGCTTATGTTTCCATCAGGCCACATATTGGCGATATAATTAAGCATGAATATAGTTAAATATGTTGTATCTGTTCTCCCATGTTTAAATGGGGATAACTCTAAAGTGCTGAACTGTACTTGAATATAAATCGATCCAGTGGCCTAGAGGCAGTAACCTCAATCCGAAGCCTTTCTTTGTCAAACTAGCCATTCATCTCAAATTTGTGAACCACTATGGGTTCCCCATAGCTTCATTAGGAAAATGATGTATAAAAAGGCAGTGAGCAAGCAGGCTGAGCTCGTTTAAGAGTTGGGCCCAGAGACCTCTCAATACCTTCTTAGGTTTTTGAAGGATGAATTGCTTGCAGCAACAAGTCTATTGATTCCCTTTAACTGGGGCAGACAATAAGTGTGATAATTCACTTCAAGGGCAGGAATCTGGTCCCGTTTAAGCCCAGGAAAGAACCAGAAGCAATAAACTGTGAGAATAATCTCTCGTAAAGTGAAAGCTTTGCTTGTAGCTGGGCTAGGGTGTTGAAGGGTGAAGCAAACTATTCCAAGGTATCCTTACCCCAACTCCATCGCTAGAAGCAAGGATATAGTCATTCCAGGCTCTAGCTAGAGCTCAACCTAACTTATCCTTGTGCTAAGAAAATATTGTTCTCAACAATTATAGGAATTAAAATTCATTGAAAAAGCTAACAAATAACATGAGTCAAGAAATGGGAAAGACAGGCTCATACCTGGATTAAGAAAATTTAAAGATCCCTGACATCAGGGGAACATATATAGCCAATTAAATCTGCAGTATCTATAATACTATTCAAGGTCTCTTTGATCTAGATTTTATTTTCTTAATCAAGTAATCTTCCAGTCCAATGCCTGCCTCTACTATTCTTGTGTCTCTTTTCATTTCTACCTTTATAACTTCTTCTAGAATCCCCCCCATTCTCTCTGTTTCATCATCTTCACAGATTCTAGGAATTATCATTACCCAAGAATCCATATGTGGCACTTCCCCATACTTCAGCATTTCCCCTAGCACTTCAGTAGCTTCCTCCATCTTACCAACATTACAAAACCCTTTGACTAAAGCATGAGAAACCGAAAAATGCGGAGAAAACCCCTTTAACAACATTTCCTTCGTATACTTCTTAGCCTCATCAAACATCCCTTGATCACATAAACCCCCAACCAAAGTCCTATAGGAAACCAAATTCGGCAAACACCCATTTGAAGGCATATCCTCAAGAACCTTAACCGCATCCAGAGCTCTCCCTTCTCTACAGAAACCCGATATAACTGTATTATAATGCACAATATCAGGATTACACCCTTTAACTTTCATTCTACAAAGAAGTTTATAGGCTTCCCTAAGCTTCTTCTTCCTACACAAACTATTCAACAAAGTAGTATAACTCAGCGAATCGGGTACAAACCCTTTATTCAACATATCTTCCAACAAATCTACAGCTTTATTCACTTGACTCTTCCTACACAACCCTTGCATCAATATCCTATAAGACTCGACATCAGGCACAACATCTCTCTCAAACATTTTGTTGAACAGTTTGTAAGCAATACTCAAATCCCCATTCAAACAAAACGCAACCATTAAAATGTTGTAAGATTTTGTATTGGGAAAAACCCCGTATTTATGGGCATTCTTGAAAAGGTCAAAGGCAGGCATCAGAAAGTTACGATGAGAAACAAGAAGTTCGAGAATGCGATTTAAGTGTCTGGGTAAAGGCTTGATGTTGAACTCAAGCATTTTGTAAAATGTTTTGAGAGCTTTTTCGGGTAAATTTGCTTCTGCATAGATTTTGATAAGGTAAGAAAAGAGAGTTGGGGTTACTTGGTATTTATCGGATTTAAGGCGAATAAGAAGGTCGTCGACGAGGGAGAAGTGTTTGGAGCGGCCGAGTTTGAGAACGAGGACGAGAAACGAAGAGTAAGAGTGACGAAAACCGGGTTGATTAGAGGCGAAATCGAAGATTTCCTTGGCAAGGAGAGGATCAGACTGGGCGGATATAAGTTTTTGAACTCGTGTCGGAGAACCAAGTGGCGAAGTGGAAGTGCAACGTTGCTGTTGTTTGGGGGGTGGGCCCGGAGATGACGAATGGAAGAAGAGAAATGAAGGTTTTCGCGGGAAGGCAAGTGAACGAAAAATAGTTATTACAGTTCTGGAGGAACGAAGGGGAGACTGCTGCATTTTTTCGTTGTATTATTTTTGTCAGCGAAACATGATAATACCAGCTAAAAAACAATTGAACATAGCAGACGAAAATTTTTTCCAAAAAAACATGTTTTGGGCTACTTTATTGGCATAGCCGTCCAGTGAAATTAATAGTATGGGCTAGAGATTTTCGTGGGCCGGGTTCTTAACTCGGATTGGTCGTGTCTTTTGACTCTCATTCTGCCTTTCTTGTATCAAATTCATCGATGCAAGTCTTCTGATTCTTGAACAGAGTTGAAATAATTCTAGTGAAAGAGTATTCCAGAATTCAGAATCTTAGGAAACGCATTTATGATTGAATGTTACATTGGGTCCCTGAGATTGATGTTTCATGAGATATGCCCCAGCCTCCTCCAAGTAGGGTCCAAAAGGAAGAAACAACGTAAATTTTAATCGCAGAAAGTGAAGTGATTTTCAACTAAAATGGTGTAAGGGTCGGACTGTGGAGCGAAATGCTGAACCTTTTCACATGGAAGAAAGAAAGAAAACGCATAGAACTCAGACGTGTATACAGATGCATCTTGGACCGTGGGGGATAATGGGATCTGTGAATGACGACGACGCATGAACCTATGGGGGCCAAGCATGTAGAAATGGCAAAGAACAGCCACCTATTCTGCTCATGCAGATACATTTGGGTAAGAAACTTATCCATTTGTCGGTGTTGCTGGTGCTAATTGTGCCACTCCCTTTCTGCTTACCCATCTAGACTAGAGAGAGAGAAAATATTGCAAAGAACCTATCCTTTCTCATTTCTCAATCTCTTACCCACCAAGGCTCCTTTCCTTTTTTTGGAGAACGTAATATTTAATTTTTTCATTTCACCTTGGGGAAATGCTTTTTGGAATTTCACATTAACAAAGTACCAAAACGTGGTTTACATTGGATAATGCGATGAATTACAAAGTTGGGACGAATCATGAGAAATCACTATCATGACAATGTGTATTAGTATGTTGATAGCTGTAGCCTGAACTGATATCAGTCCACAAACACAAAGGCTTCTACTGCTGACATCATATAATCTCCTAGCACTAGGGCTAAAGCTACATTCATCTTCGCAGCTTTATCAGACTTTGACTACTTACATTAGACATTACTACTTTCTAATGAATAAATATTAGTTTATTAGAGATCCAAATCCACTGGGAAAAAAGTAAAAAACCTTGTAGGATAATAAAATGAATGACTAATAAATAATGGGTATGAAGGGGCCATATTCCCTCAAGTAAAAGGGGAAACAATAAGTATATATTCATCATAGAACTTATCATTGTTAATTTCCATGCGCATTATTGATTGTTTCATGAATCGTGATAGTGCTTTACTGCATAAGCTTGCTTTTCTCAATTTGTTTTCCTTCCACATTTCTTTATCTTTGTAGATGGCTTATATTGTTTTTCCACTCCTTATAAGTAAGTTAGAAAACAAAAGCAAGAAAAAAAGAGATTATGTAATACCCCAACTCAAATAATAATTGGGTTAGACTAATATTAAAGTCTATTAGTTTATTAAGACATTATTTAGTAAAAGAAAAAGGACTGAAGTATTAGATGAAAGAAAACTTAACTATCGTGAATCAGAAAGGAAATAGAGTTATTCTTCCTAATCTTTTTTAGGGTTAGAGAATATGAAAAATCAAGTTGGAGATTCATAATCAGAGGCTACAATCAAGTTAATCCCTTAAAGGTGAGTACATGCCCTTCTTTTATTTGAAAAGAAATATCAAATTGATTGCTATTATTTGGAGTTGAAGTTTTGAGAGAAAAATAAAAAAAAATCATGAAATCTTCATTAATCTTGATGATCTACTTGGGTAAATTACTGGGCTTTGTTTATTTCATGTTCTTAAGATTTATTGATGATTATTGAATGGAGTTTGAAGGCTGAAAGTAAGGATTTGAGTTTTTAAAGATTAAAGGAAAAATTTTATTTTTGGATGAGATGTTATAATTTGTAATAATGAATTAAAATAGAATTTTGTATTAAGGGATAGATTATTGCTGTGATTATTATATATCACTGAAAAGCATGTTGAATCTAGTTTCTAATGAAACAAATAAAAGTCAAATCCGAGTTTTCTATGAAGAGTTGTCTAATTTTAACTTAAAGATATGCAGGCTGTAAGACAATAGCATTAGGGTTGAATTACGAAATTCTTCTTAATTTGTATACAAGGATTTATAGATTAAGCCATATATGTTTGGAAAGCTTATTGAGTCTACTTTCCAATGAAATACGCGAAATTGAATTTGGAGTTTCCTGTGAATAAATATATAGTTTTTATTAGAAGGTATATAGGCTGTTTGGCAGCAGTATATGACATGGATTTCAAAAATTGTTATAATTAATCTACAAGTAATTACGAGGTGTTTCATATATGGTTAGAAAGCTTATCACGTCTAGTTTCTAACGCATTAAAGAGATCATAATTTCGATTTGGATATATTGAGATATGATTGTTTTAATGAAAAGATGTCAGGCGTCAGTATTAATTAGTTAAGCTAACCCTTTGTGTAACTTAGTTGATTTTTGTATAAATGGTCTAAAAAAGGGTTGATTAAATTCTGATCTGTTGAAATGATCTTGGATAGGCCAATAAATTATTTTGAGGAAAAAACTAAGTGATGGAATCGAATGGAGGTAAGTAAAATCTTACACACTTTACTTGTTTTTCGAATCCATATATATATATATATGTTTCTAAATGAAAGAATATTTTATTTCATTATTTTCAGTGTATGAAAATAAGATCAAGCATATGATTATTTTGTGTTTCTCTATATAAATGATGGATCATACTTATGAATGAAATGAAAAAAATGATTTATGTTTAAAGAATGATTTTATGATAGTTACGTTTTTAAATCCCTCGGAAGTGGGATCATCGACACCAGAACTTAGTTCTACAACCCTGGCTAACGGGTAATAGTAGTTAGCAAAGACATGATCATACGACCCTGGCTAACGGGTAATAGTAGTTAGCGTAAGCCCTAGCTAACAGGTTATAATAGTTAGTAATGATCATGAGAATGAAATTGTCGATACGACCAATGTCACGAGTTATAGCAGTGACCGTAGCTAACGATTTGAATGATGATGATGATTTATGATGATTTTTAATGATTAATCCATGATTTGGTTTGATTATGATATTTGAATGATAGCATATTTTGCAATGATTTATTAAGTGACATATTTTGACTTGATTTACGAATTTATGAAATATTTGACAAAACGATGATCTTGAAATGTTTTGATATTATGATTTGATGAATGTTTTGAATGATCTATATGATGTGACAAAAAAAATGATGCTTGATCTGATAAGGTGTGTGAGCCTTTACTTACTGAGCTGTGGTTTGCTCATTCTCTTTTTACTTTTTCTTTACAGATGACAAAGTGATAAGTTTGGTTAGTCTTGTGTGAAGTTAGAAGATGAAATGGAAAAGATTACTTAGTCGTCGGAGAATATGTTGGCTAATGAGATCTTAAGAGATAGTGTTGTATTTTATATGGTTTGTATTTTGATATATAAAGATGTATCATCAGTTGATTAAATATATGAATTTTACTTGATAGATTATTTTATTGAAAAATTTTAGAATGTTTAAGAAAGAAGACTTCGTATTACTTTGAGATTTTTTTCAAAGTAATATGATCGTGTTACGTCTTGATATCAGGACGTGACAGGTTAAGAGAAAGAAAATTCAAAAGACACAAAGAAAAGAGGATAAAAGAGTAGCAGCACATCGTTCTAAGCTGAACACAAGAAAAAAAAAAAAAAAAAGCCACTTAGCACCCATCGACCCAACTCTCCTTTCTTTTTCCGTTCCTTTTTTGTTCCATTCGTCAAACATATTCTTCTTCTTTATTTTATTTTCAACATTGTCACTCGGCCCTCCATCAACACCCAGGAACCCTCCTCCCTCTTTCCGTTTTATCTATTTTTCAGTACAAATACCTTCTATTAATATTCAATTTTCTATGACAGACCAAGAGCTCAAAAGACCCTCAGCCTTAGCTATCTCCACCACCCAAAATGATCCAAGGAAAACAACGCTGTGTCTGTGCTAAACACAACCAACCAAGCAACAGCCAAGGAGGCGCAGGCCGGTTCTGTTGCTTATGTATTTTCATCTTCCTCCTCTTAGCAGGAGCCACAGCCCTTACTGTTTGGCTCATCTACCGTCCCCACAAACCTCGTTTCACTGTTGTCGGTGTTGCTATCTATGAACTCAACGCCACCTCACAACCCTTCATTTCCACTTCCATGCAGTTCACTATCGTTACAAGAAACCCCAACAGGAGAGTCTCCATCTTTTATGACAAGTTGCAAGCTTATGTTTCGTATAGAAACCAACAGATTACTCCCCCAGTGGACTTGCCACCACTGTACCATGAGACAAAGAGCACGGTTGCCCTGTCTCCGGTGCTTGGTAGCGGGATGGTACCAGCATCGGCGGAGGTGGTAAATGGACTGATGATGGATGAGGCTTACGGAGTGGTGGCGCTGAGGGTGGTGTTATTGGGGAAGTTGAGATGGAAGGCTGGTGCTATAAAGACAGTGAAGTACGGAGTTTATGTGAAATGTGATGTTTGGATTGGTTTGAAGAAAGGTGTGGTAGGTCAGGTACCTTTGCTTGGAGCTCCTCCCTGTAAAGTTGATATATGAAGTAGGAAAAGATGGATATATATATTTATATTGTAAGGAGGCTTTTACCTTAAAATCTTTTTCTGGGTTCCGTCTTCTCTGTATGTTTCATTAATATTAGTGTAGCTAGCTAGCTTTGGTACTTTCGTTTTCCTTTGTTTGTAAACTTCTTTATGTTTTGTTACTCTAACTATATCTGCCGAAAAGCAGAAGAAATCCAAAACTAAGTTCAGGCACTGTTGCACAGAGGAACATGTACTCGTAAGCAATGTGGTCAGAAAAATTAATGCAAGAGGGCTTCTTAATTCTTCTTCCATTTCATTTTCTCTATCATTCTTTTGTTTCAGTTCCACTTCTGAGGGTGAAGTAATAGCTAGTAATGGCTCTGAAATTGGTGTATTGTCGGTTTACAATGTTTGGAATTGCCGCAAGGCGTCAAAGTTTGGACGAGTGGCTCTACATGCAGCTAAAGTTGGCCACCATCTGTTTCCTTATTTTATCTTTTGTTGTGACTGCTTCCTATGTCAGCCCTGCACCCAGTAACCCACTTGTTTTACCTTCTTAATGGTGTGGCGGCATACCTGCCTTGTTGGCTTTCTTACACTTTTCACATTTCACAGTTGATGAAAGCTTGTTTTCAAAGGAGTTTTATTACTATTCTTGAAAATTAAAATACTTCCGATCCTTAAAATCCATTTCCATCAAATGACTATAGACTTCATTAATAAAAAAAAAAAAACAAAAGTTGGAAAAACAATGCTCTAGACACAATACGATGCGTGGAGAAAAAAAAAATTGCTACTTGCTTTGCCCTCGGGGCTGGTTTACATGAGATAATATTGAGCATACATTCCTCACTTGGAAGCAGAGCCAAAGTATTCCTCCGACAAAGACACAAAGCTGGGGTTCTTTAATTAGGTGCTGATAGAACCTTTTCAGTTTTGCGTATTCCTTTTAGTAATATTCGCTTCATTTCCCTTGCTCATAACTAATCCATAACGATTGTTCAAATCATGTCTATACCTTTATCTATATATTTTTTATACCTAGACTCAATTATTGGTGACTAATTAGTATATGGTCAGACTCAGAACTCTTCCCGAATTCTACTTTTGCTTTCTTCTTTTCTTCGGAACCTCTGATGTTGGGCATAGCATCTATCAAATTACTTCACTGTTTTCGGATTCTCCATATGCCAAGTGGAAGTGGTCACAGAAGGTATCAGATTCAACAGGCTCAATCAAGGAAAATGCTAAAGAACACATTCCTTGTCGGATATATATCTTGTCGGATATTATGTCCAAGCTGTAGACCAAACAAAAATTTTGTTCTTCATATTTTAATTTATTGATAAATCGACACAATTAATACAATTAGAATAAATTAGCGGTGTTCCTTAATTGAAATTAATCAGAGAGATATCATGGGAATAATTAAACCATATGTTAAACTTGTGAATTATGAATAATCTTGGAAGAACCTTTAATTAAGTTTCTTGGAGAGTTAGGCAGGTTCTCTTTCTCCTTCAGCTTCAAAGTTAGAAGGAAGTGAACCAATAGATAAAGCGATGCATTTCTAGAAGATAAGGGCTTAAAAAGATATATATTAGGACGAGAAAAACATTAATTATTAAAAACTTCATACTTTAATAAAATATTAAATACGATGGTCGCATTAAACAAATATAAATTGTATTAAAAATAAACTATTTTTTTGTTGTCAGTTAGAATTTTATTTTTTTTTTATTTTTTTCATTTTTATATACCTACTACGTGATTGATTGAATGGTTTTGGTTTTGATGTTTGAAATTTGAACCCACTAAGTAAGTCATGATGTTTAAGTCGTGATGTATTGACAGAATGAGTGGAGATGTATTAAGATGTGTGTGATTTAATTACCAGTAATTTATAAGTATTACTATATTGTGCGCATGTAAAGTATGATTTTAATTAATGAATAAATTTAAAAGTTTGGGAGTCTTAAAAAATTTATAAATCTAAGAATTTAATTAGATAAAATAAGTATAAGGATTTTCCTTTATTTATTTCTAATTAAGTGTATTTTGCCTGTCCAAACAAAGGGACACTGTGAAACAACTCTACATCTGGGTCTGATAAATTAATGAATACAAAATTCAAGGTCAAAGGGTATCAAACAAGTAATCCTCGCCAAACAGATAGGCAATTCTTTCCGACCTCCATGGATCCTTTTCACCATTTGCATCCTCATCATCAGCTTGACATGGCAGTAGCTTAAGCCTGCACAAGGGACATGTCCCATGACCCTGATCAACCCACCCATCAACGCACTCCTTATGATAGAGGTGACTACAATTGGCTAGCTCTCTGATTTCTTCACTTCCCTTGACGCATGCCAAGCATATTGAACAAACAGCTGATTGCTCGCCAATGCTTTGCAATTTTGATCTGCTGAATTGAACTACTGGGAGCTTGGTCTTTATCAAATTTGAGACAACATGGCTCATGAATGGTACCGGCACCAGAGAAGGTGAAGGGCGTTCGTCGTTATCTGCTTCAGCGTAGTCTTGGAGGTGATTCTGATAACTTGAACCATGTTCTTGAAAGAGCTTGGGTAGTTTCTGGACTTGACACCAACAAAAGTCTTTCGCCATCAGGATGAATTTAAGGTGTGTCAATAAGTGGAGGAGAAGTGCTATAACCAAAAGTTGTGAAAATTTAATGGAATTGAAAGGTTGAATCATGATTCAGATACCAGATGAAAACTTCAGAAATCGTGGGTATATGAAAGGTAAGGGGTCCAAAATGCGAACTTAACAGGAACCTGGAAGATTTCAGGGATCAGTTAGTGAATTATATATATGAAGAAAATGACAAATAATAAACTTACATTAGGTAAGTCAGGCCGGAAATCAAGTGGATGACAACAATGTTTGGTATATACTTGATCAAGAAAATGAAAAAACTGTGGTATATCAGGGATGTTTAGGATCACTGATATTAATTTTATTTTAAAATAATATTTCAAATACTCTTTAATTATAATAAAATATTTAAAATGATATTGAAATTTAAAACCTTTTTAATATATTTCTTGAATTATGTATAAAATTTCAAATTTTAAATATCACATAAAAATATTTTATTATATATAATTCAAAATTATTCATAACATTAACATTTTTTAAATAAATTTACATTATTTTCCTTTTGTCACTATTTACCCATTCAACTCCATAAACTTATAGAATCATATCTGAGTTATTTTTACTCAAAACGCTGCTCGAAAAGCATCTCTTTAGCCACATAAAAAGTCGAATTCAAGCATATTAATTTGCCTAAACCATGTGCCTTCTTGCGTGTGTTTCCACACATTAGGGGCGTTGATGTTTGGATTCAACGATTGAAAGAAATAAGGGGGATATGGATAGTTAGCGGGCAAGATTCGTTGAATTTGGAATTCTAGTTAATCGGACAGTGACAATATCCTTTCTTTTTTTCTTTTTTTTTTCCTTACCGCGAATGTATGTGCATTTAAAAATTTGAATCCCTGATCTTTTTGATGGTTCTTAAATTTGGCATATTTGAATACCCATTTAGGCGTTTACTTGGAGACAGCTTTTTTGGACTTGTTTACCCATTTCACATTTATATTAAATAATATATTTTATTTTTTATAAAAAAAAAAAAAACGGTAGTTAGGAATAAAAAAATTTTAAAATTTTGAAATTTAAATTTTATATCAAACTTGTTAAATGTTAATTTTTTTTAAAAATGATTGTATTAGTATGAATCAAATTGAATTAAAATTCGGATTTTTTAAATTTTCTTTGGTAGTTCACTGCTTTTTTAATTACTTTGCAAACATATTTACTCTTCATTTAAAAAATTGAATGGTCATGTTTAAGTCGCATGCTAGGCTCAATGGAGGAGGTCAAGGCCCAACCTATAAACCTCGGTTCCAAAAGATTAAAAATGTTAGTGCCCATGGTTTTTGGGCTTTGCTTATAGTAACGCGCCCAACGAAGTTTTTGGCGGCTGGTCTAAGTGTGAAGTTCATGCCACTATGGTTTTCTTAAAAATGTTTTTACTATATACCCAAAAAGTATTGTTCCCATCAAGAGTAAAAAAATTCATTGCATCTATCACTATCACAAGTGGAGATCGTAGTCATCAGGGCATTCATTTTTATTAAAGTTTTTGTCACATTAATGAACTTGTTTGTCTATGATTATTGCAAAAGACATCATCCACAGTTAGTGGAGTAGATGAGATACAACAGGTACTTGATTACTAATATCATTGCAAAACCCACAAAAAAAAGTTAAAAATGTCCAAATTAATTTGACTATTGAAAAAAGAAAAAGCTCATTAAAAAAAAAAAAAACAAAAGACTTATTTTTGCAGAAGTTGTAACCCCATCGTCCCAGTCCTTGTCAAAAAGTCATTTAAGCAAGAAGCACGTGATTATTAGAACTAGATAAGATTTTGATGACCAGCACACAACCATACAGTACATCCTTCCAGAATGATCAGTTCTTAAAATTATATTATACTTCTCCTACTACTACCTATTGGATCTATGTCACAAAATGAAACTAGTACAACTACAAGACAAGCAGCTGGGAAATATCCTTCATTTTAAGAATTTTCAGAACTTCCGGTAGTAGTAGTAGTAGTTTCTGTTTTGTGCTATTTGCCTCTTTCTATTTGGCCACTATCAATTATGAATCATCCCTATGTGCAAATTCAATAAAGAATGAATGATGAAAAAGAATTCATACACTCCTCTTACCATTCATAACAACAAGTTCTTGTTTTTTTGTCTGTGGGTTTGACTGCAACTTGGAAATGTAAGTTTAGTTAGGTAAGGCTCGGTCTTCTTATGATGTAGGACAGTCTGGTAAGGGCAACCTTGTAATATCACAGATGAGTGCCAGGCGATAGCAGACAAACTTCTATAATGATCAAAATTTCCAAGCTTTCCATAAAGCATTCTCCTCTCAAAGCCAGGGCAAGGGCCTTCAACTTTTGACAAAGGTACAAGCCTCTCATAAATTCTACTATATCAACTCAGAATCAAAGATAGTTCCAGTAGGATGGTGCTTTGCCTACTTATTTTTGCCAAAATCTCTACTCTTAACTATATTTAGGGTATTATCCATCACTTTAGAATCTCCAGTTGTTATATTTTAGTCCGTGTATATAATAATTCCTACATTTCAATAACTATGGGGGTTTGCTGTTATACCTGGTTATGGCCTTATGGGTTGGCTGAAATCTTAGCATGCTAGGGACCCATTTCGCAATACTTAATAATCTGTAATCATCATTATTTATGTACTTTTTTCTTTCTATTTAATACAGGTTTGATTAGCGGTTGCGTGGTACTTCACATATTTCTGCATACTTAATTCTCTGTCTATGGTGTCGAAATGGATTAAACTGCTTTTAGTGTGTATCCCATGTTCGATCCAAATTTTGAAGAGAAATGCAAGATTGTTTGGTTTTTTGATTGAAGCAAGTTCTATATGTTCTTTGGCTCAATCAATAAAATACTTCCTGCTTATAGATGATTACCTGATATCAGTCTAATTGTGATGATTGCCTTTAAAGAAAAGAGCTTTTAATAGTAAATTTGATTGCCCGGCTATGGGATCATTTATCCCTAGCCTTGGAAAATGGTAATTAGTCAGGGTGTTTGGTTTTCCTGTGGTAGTTGTGGTCCTTTCAACCTGTCATTGTCTGTGCCAGAGAGCCTTTTGTAGCTAAGAATTTGCTAACCTAGCTGCTAGAAGTTGAGCTCCTTGCGAAGTAACATTCTTGCTTATCTCCCTAATTTATATGTATTAGCTCCTTGTGAGGTAGCGTTCTTGCTTATCTCCCTAAGTTATATGTGTCTTCTTCCAATAATGCATTTAAAGGTGGCTCTGCTTGCGTCTTGATGGTCAAATTTTTAATTTTTAATTCGTTATTTATGACTACAATCTTTTCAGAAGTTTGTATTATTGAGTTTCTGGTTAATATTCTTGTAAACAACTATTTTTCAATTTTTTGCTTGTTCATTTGTGGGACAGTTATTCTGTTTTGTACCTATTTTGAAAGGATTACAGGAATCACCATATTCCTGTTTGATTCATTTCTATATGAATGATGCAATCTGGGGAAGTTGTTTTATTGTCACAGAGAAGAAAGTAGTTTGCATATGAGTAAGTGGTTCGCTGATCGAAAGTCGATCCTTTTGCTCATCATCAGTTTTTTATTTTTGTGCCGTAGGACTTTGTCTATCATTTTTATCGTTCCAACTTCCCTTTTTTCTTTTCTATCAGCCTCTTTGGGGCATCTGGTCTATGTTCAAAATATTTACTCTGGTTTCTTATTTCTCTAATTTGTTGATTTTAAAGAATTTACTGTCTTCTAAGGCCAACACAATGAGTTAATGTTCTCTTCTCAATCATTTTTTGCGATTACCAGTCTTGTTTTCAACCTTTCTTTAATTATTTGTATGGTAAGTTTTGTTAGAGAATAAACCCAGTCCAAAACTTTTCACATCATTTAATTTGGGTAGAATAACTAGGAAAGTGATAAAAGTTTGCTCAAAATGCCAATGCCTCTGCATAGAGATTAATGAGACAACTCCATATATGTAATGGACAATTCGTCTCCTTTTGAGAGCTTTTAGATACTTTTTGGGTTTTCTTTAGAGTGCCAGTGATTATTTTGTACCATTGGATTTTGTTGGGTGTTTAATCTAAGCAGTTTTTGATGATTGGAAAGCAAAAATCTCGCTTCTAGTTTGGTTGGTTGTTTCAGATATTAGGAAACAAGAACAATAACACAAGTTTATTTTGCTAATGTCTTCTTCATTGTGTAATTTAAGTTTATGCATTCAACACAACCTATCCCGCTTCTAGTTTGGTTGGTTGTTTCAGATATTAGGAAACAAGAACAATAACACAAGTTTATTTTGCTAATGTCTTCTTCATTGTGTAATTTAAGTTTATGCACTCAACACAACCTACTGGGTCTTAAGCTTACTGCTTGTGTCTGGTTACTGTAAATGGTGCTGTGCACAAAGGCATCATGTGCATATGTCTCCCTTGCATTTACAGGGTAATTTCCTAATCTCTTGTATTTAAATGAGAAGGCATTTTAGATGAGCACAGTTCCGTAGTGGTCAGTACTTAGCTGAAGTGTTAATGCTGATGTTTAGGACTGTGGACTAATAACAAAAAGGTTGGTTATGAAAAGGAAGAAAGATGACCATTTGCTTGAAATTTCAATTTTGCTTTAAGAAATTCTTGAAGTACTTATTATTCTTGGTGATTAGACTCTTAAAAGTGTTATTTATTGTTGATATTTGTTTTGTTATATGCTTCATGCTTTTTCCACTCTAGTTCTTTATTGTTGGTTATCAAAGAAATAGAATAAATAAATATATAGATCAGTTTCTTTACCCTGTATGATTTATAAAATTATTAACTTGTGTAGTTGTTGATTCTCATGGTGTTTTCCTAAATGAAACACAAAAGTTTTGGGGGTTAATAAGAGTATTTCACCATTGAGTTTGTTGCAAAGATATTTTCTGCTTCTATGTAATTATATGTCTCATTTAGAAAACTTGTACTTATGGTATTCTGTTTATAATCTTTGTGCTGTTGCCATCAATTTTCAGATGGAAGGGCAAAATCCTCAACATGGGCAATTTGTTGAAATAAGCGTGGATGTTGCTGATGGGGAAAGGAGTGTTGTAGGGAGTAAGATTTGTGGGGATACACCTTGTGGATTTTCCGATGCTGGTACTAACTCTAAAGATGCTGAAGAACGATCAGCTTCCATGCGCAAGCTTTTCATTGCTGTGGCACTTTGCATCATCTTCATGAGTGTAGAAGTGGTGGGTGGCATCAAAGCCAATAGTCTGGCAATATTAACTGATGCAGCACATTTGCTGTCAGATGTTGCAGCTTTTGCCATCTCCTTGTTTTCGTTATGGGCAGCTGGTTGGGAAGCCAATCCCCGGCAATCTTATGGATTTTTTAGGATTGAGATTCTTGGGACCTTGGTATCCATCCAAATGATATGGTTGCTTGCAGGAATTTTAGTATATGAAGCCATTGTTAGACTCATTAATAACACGGGTGAGGTGAATGGATTTCTAATGTTTCTTGTTGCTGCTTTTGGATTAGTGGTTAATGTTATCATGGCTCTCTTATTGGGTCATGATCACGGTCATGGCCATGGCCATAGCCACGGTAATCACAGTCATGGTACTGGTCACAGTCACGGAGTGAGCATTACCACGCACCATTACCACAAGGGACACTCCACAGGAGAACACCACCACCAGCATCATGAGGAGCACTCCAAGACTGAACACTACCATTATCATGATGATGCAGAGCGCACCAAAGATGAGCAACACCATGGTCACGAAGATCAGTCAGAGCCGCTGCTCAATAAGCCAAAGAAACAAAGGAATATAAATGTCCAGGGTGCTTATCTTCATGTACTGGGGGATTCCATTCAAAGTATTGGAGTGATGATCGGAGGGGCAATCATATGGTATAAGCCCAAATGGAAAATAGTTGATCTGATTTGCACGCTAATATTTTCAGTTGTTGTTTTGGGGACTACGATAAAAATGTTGCGGAGCATACTTGAAGTGCTAATGGAGAGTACACCTAGAGAGATTGATGCAACAAAGCTGGAAAGGGGGCTATTGGATATGGGGGATGTGGTAGCCATTCACGAGCTGCATATATGGGCCATTACTGTGGGGAAGGTCCTGTTGGCTTGCCATGTCAAAATAAGGCCAGAAGCAGATGCAGACATAGTCTTAGACAATGTAGTAGAATATATCAGAAGGGAGTATAATATCAGTCATGTTACCATTCAGATAGAGCGTTAATGGAAGGGAAGAATTTAGAGCATGCTTGGCCTCATTATCCTCTCTTTTGAAAAGCTTTTTACATCCCAAGTATTAAACATTATATATACAGGTGGCGACATATAGCTAACGTTTTTCTTGTTAGCACATGATTTTCTGCTTAGTAGTCCATTCCAAGATTTAATCAGTAGATATTATGTAACTTTCGTTTGTGGAATCATTTCTTTCGGTCCATTTCATGTTTATTACCATTTTAGTTTGATAGATGCATGCATATCTCTCTTCTCAAGGGAAAAGTTTTCATCATGCTGTGAAAGAAAACTAGCAATTTTAACCAACACAGGTTCATATCAACGGTCTCCAATAATTGGGGTCTACCACCAACTAAAATTTTGCGTCACAGGGGTCATGAAATGATGGGCAAGCACCTGGTCCGTGAACACACCTATTCAGTTACCATGAACAGATTGACATGTGATGTTGGGAGGTGGGGGCACCGGCATCCTCTCACTCATTCTGCATAACCTTGAGATTTCCCTCATACCCTCGCAAAATTTTCTCCAAAATGCGTCCGACAGCCCCTTTACATCTAAAACCTGTCGTGGTTACTTGCGAATGCGCTGAAGAAGCCAGTCATGTAGATAAAATGAAGATGAAATGAAATTCAACTTGCAAGAAGGGGATAAGGTTCCTGCAATCCTGGGGCTCTGGTTTAACCAATAGCATATAAAAGAATACTGTTTGATGAGATTAATGCCAGCTCGGTAGACAGTGGCCACGTTTACGTTTTAATTTTTTTTGACCGACTCGTATGTGTGGGCATAATCTATGAACTACATGACAAGACCAAAATTTGCGGTTTTCTTGAGAAAGAGAATGCCTCTGGTTGTGTGGCTAAAGACGTGCCAAAATAGTTTTATCGGTTGAAAATGGATATACCGCAGTTTCAAATGGATAAGATTGTTAAGACATTATCAAATGAATTTGGTGTTCTCAATTCTCAGGCTTCGATTTTATTAAATTAAATTTGTCTCATTTTTAAGTCGTGTCTCTTATCTCTGCTTTTGGTGGTGTGTGGAGCTGTGAATATGAATACATTAGTCACATACATATCTTGCCAATCATCATCCATGGAAGGACGTGCGAGCTGTTCGATCGATTCCTACGATTTGCAAAGAAGGGAGTTTGCTACATGCAGGATGATCTTTCAGAAGAAAACTTTATTTATAAAAATTGAATGAATCATTGAATGGAAAAGGAAATCGCCTTGTAAGACGGTTGGTGTTTATAAAACAGGTGACAGTTTCGGTTTTCTGATAGCAACACAAAAATTATTACTGCCAGGGCTGGCAGTCAAGATTATTGTCTCTTTTTTAGGCTTCTGAGAGATTTTAGTCAAGAGTTATGCCTTGATCATCAGGTAATTCCTGTGAAGCTGCAAATGGTGGGAGGTGCTATTTTTCTTAAACAAAAAGGCAGACATAAAAAATATTTTAAGTTTCTATGGCATTACTAGGCTCTGAGCAACTATCACAGATATCTAGGACTACCAAAATAGATGAAGCAAGAACATTATCTCTATACAATTTTCTACATAGAAGGGCCTTCTAATGGGGTAACCGACTTACAAAATAGGAGCAACGTCGCAGAGTAAAATCATGCAGACTGTTTAAAATTTTACCAGTGGAGTATTACCGTGACGAGATCGAGGAACAAACTTGTACAAAATATGTGAGGCCCCTGAATTCATTAACGTACATTTAAATCTTAACCATACTCAAGAAAGACCCTTGATTGGTTCGAGAGGAACTTGACTACTTGAGCTTGAAGCAAAAGACAGATCTAAAATTCAATTTCCTTCTGCTCCCCCTTGAAGACAAATTTCTGTCCTTTAGACAAGTAATTTGAAATAAGCTCACTGCTAGTGGGTTTGGAGGATAGAGGACCCTGTCAGCTGTGTTTTTTTTTTTTTTTTCTAAATTTGAGAGTAAGAAAAATGGCAACACCCCGACATGTTTTGGGGATACCAAGGACGTTCATCCTTGAATAAAAATGACGAGTTTGTGAGCTTAGTTAACCATATAAATTTGACCAAATGAGCTCATATTAAAGGTTAAATCTCTTTTTTAACTAACAGCATGATGGAGGTGATACCATTTCCTTCCCCCCACCCTTTTATTCACAACCAAATTAGATAGTAAGAATCGAATTTGAAGGCAAAACAATGTAATCATTTAACCATTTGAGCTAGGAGTGTAAATAGAACTGAATTGGCAAAATCTTCCCCTGTCCTGGTAACGAGAACCAGAAGGGTTGTGGAATAAATTTGAAGGGTCACTATTAACACCCTGGAGGCAAAGGAAGTCTTAATTGTACTATTGGACCCCATGTGCAACGGATGATGAAGGTTATATGCGCAGCAGACTAGCAGTAAAAGGGAGAATTCCTTGATGTATTTTAACAAACAAAAATATAAAAAAAAAATGGGACAATGGTGGAGATGCGCTATAAGGAAATGACCCATTATCAGACGGGTGACACAATCCATAGGAGGACTTTCCAAAGCTTTTCTTTGGTGTACGCTTGAAAGCGGAGTCCCCACAACTGTCTGTCCCCGCTGCCGGACAAGACTGCCACCGCCAATAATGCTTGGGACCTTGTAAACCAGATAACCTCCCCCTCTCTCTCTTTCTCTCTCTCTGCTATGCCTCACCAACTCTGCCAGACCCAAATACAATCCTGTATATCTTCTAACTCTCAGTTGGGTATTTTCCACCCTTCGTTTCTCACCACATCTGTTTCTTGATTCCATTTTCTTCACCATTGTTTTACCCAGCTTCGAGTTGCATTTAAACTCTAGTGGCAATTTTCTGTTCTTTTCTCTCTCTTTTTCTTTCTGCTAGAGTTCTTCAAAGCATTTAATATTATTCTATTTAGGAGTATTACCAGCAACAGAAAACTAAGAAATAAATTGTGCTTGGCCTTGGGGTCTTATTCTGCTTCTTTGGGGATTACATTTATTACTTGTCTTGTTTTGTTAGCATCACTACATGGAATGTTGATAACTGAGAACGAGAAAGAGAGAATTTAAGGCATTACTTCCGACTACTTATTGCTACTAAGCTGTTATGGAGAGGCTCCAAGGACCAATTAATCCCTGTGTATGTTATTTTGCTTACTTTAGTACTTCTGTTTCTTTTACACTTCCTCTTTTCTTGAATCCCGTTTCTAGAATCAAGATATAGACTGCATTTACTCCTTTAAAAATGCTTGCACTCAATGCAGCGTGTATTTGTGCTGGAAAATACTAACATCTGCTACTGCCCTACTCCTGCTTCTTCCTCTTTTAACATTCTATTCTCGTTCTGCTTTCATTCTCTCTTTTCTGCTGACTCTCAGTCCCTGAGTCCACCACCCAATTAGTAGCACTATCTTTTTTTTTAGTCAAATATCTTAGAGAGGGTTATTATATGAACCCAGTTAAGAATTTTTTTAATTTTCTTTCATTTCCTCACACTTACATGATTGCAGTTCCTAGGAGAGCATTTGGAAGTGGAATGCCTAGAACAAGGATTTGTTAACTCAGAGAGCTTAAGATTTGGAGAAGAAGAAGAAGAAGAAATACACTTTTCAATACCAAGCTTAGAAGACAAAATGCCATTCCTTCAGATGCTTCAAAGTGTAGAATCCCCTCAACTTTTTGCCTTCAAAGAACCCAACTTTCAGACACTTTTGAGACTGCAACACTTGAAGAAGCCATGGGAGATAAACAACAATCCTTTCGTCCCGGAAATGGAAACCCAAATTCAAGCCCTAGAGCTTGAAAGCTGTGTCACCCATGAAATACTCGACTTACATTCACCAGTCAAATCTGAGACCAAAGACCTCACAAAAAACCCACATTCAAGTTCATATTTTGAAGTTGTCAGCTCCGAGTCCAACCAAGACCAACCAAAATCAGCAACGGGAGACAATTGTATTAGAGGCAACTCTGGCTCCTCACCTCAGAAAAACTTCACAAAATCCCCTCCTATTACTAGAGAACGAAGAAAGCGAAAACGAACAAAGCTAGCCAAGAACAAAGAAGAAGTTGAGAGCCAACGCATGACCCACATTGCCGTTGAACGCAACCGTAGACGTCAAATGAACGATTATCTAAATTCTCTTCGCTCTCTCATGCCTCCATCTTATATCCAAAAAGTATATCAATTCTAATCCCAGCAAATTTTTAATCCTGCGGTTGGTTGTTTAGCTCTGGTTTCTTGAACAAAAATTATGTTTTGTTTTCATTTTACAGGGTGACCAGGCGTCTATTATAGGGGGTGCAATTGACTTCGTTAAGGAACTAGAGCAACTTCTTCAATCCCTGGAAGCGCAAAAGAGAATGAGAAGAGTTGAAGAACGCAACAATAGTAATAATTCAGTGTCAAAGTCCGCAATGGAAATCTCACAGGAGGAATCTGGAATTGGATCTGAAGATGGGAACTATGGTGAGGAAGTAAAGGCAGAAAGCAAGTCAGGTGCAGCTGAAATAGAGGTTAACGTAATACACAATCATGTCAACTTAAAGATTCACTGTTCAAGAAGTCCTGGTCAGTTGTTACAAGCCATTGTCACCCTGGAAAGTCTTAGATTAACAGTTTTGCATCTCAACATTACTTCTTCACAAGCTTCTGTTCTTTACTCATTCAATCTCAAGGTAATATTAATTTGTTTTTATAGTTTTGTTTCTTTTCTTTTTTTTTTTATTAACCTGGTCTGACTTTTCAACAAGGCTCAAACCCTAGTTCCAATATTTCTCAACATTTTTGTTTTTCTTTTTGTTGGTTTTGTTTTGTTATTTTGTGGGGTGTGTTGGAAATGATACTGGCAGATGGAGGACGATTGCAAGCTAAGATCAGCGGATGAGATAGCAGCAGCAGTTCATCAAATGTTCAGCTAAATTGAAACGGTAAAAAGAAAAAAAAAAAAAAGATTTGGTCAATAGGCAGCTGACTTGATTCCTGAAGGGAATAGTAGGGGTAGAAAAGAGAAGCCAGAAAAAGGGTAAAGGAAGAAATGGCTTTTAGGAATAGAAGGAACCAGAGGGCACCTTCCACTGTGTCCATTCCAAGCAACGTTTTGTACCACAAAGATAATTCGAGCCAAGAGCCCTTGATGTTTACATCTTAACTTAAGAAACTTCCCATGTTTATCACTAATTATTTCCTACTTGTTAGAAATGATAAATATATGTAATTTTTGTTTTAACTCTTCCCAAGTTTTCTCCTGTTTAATATTTTTGGGTTTTAGGAAGATGATTCTATTTCTATTATATTACCAGTAGTAGCTTTCGATGGAAGGTGGTGACTGATGAGTGATGACCGGTGACGTTGAGGTGGTGGTGGGGGCCAATTGAGGGCTTGCTTGCCCTGGAGCCAGGGCCCAGGGGGAGAGTATGGGATTCATCATGTTTGAAATTTTGGTGGTATGAATCTACATCTCATGATTACACTTTAGAGAATGATGCTGGCCTTTTTATATTGACTTTGGGTTCTCCGTATGTATGGACATAGATGTTTCATCATTACACAGTGTCCTCTCCGCCTACTCTTTTTTTGCATTGCCTTTTCCTGTTTGCTTCTTTCTTTTTCGACTCTGGTTCTTTTGGGCACACCTCATTTCCCAGCTTCCACATCATGGACCCCTTCTTATTTATGACTCCGCCAGTGCTTATTCATCACTCTTCACAGCCCCTCAAAACCTAAGACTCTGCAAACCCATCACCACCGTATGTCCATATCCTAAATTCTTATTAGGTATTTTGCATTTAAAAAAAAATTAATGAAGAATTACTCTTCAAAATTCATTTTTGGGCTAAAATGAGATAACTTGAAGGGGTCGTATACAAATTTGTGACATTATATTAAAATTTTATGTTTTTGATGGATAAATCTAACTTAAATTCTAAAAATGTATAGATATCATAATTGTAATAGACATGCGAAAGGAATACATAATTATATAGTTTATATGAGCTTATGTCAAATGCTTTACATTTGTAGTTTGGCATTGAATTGAATTTCAAAATACCTTGAAGTACCTGTTAAGAAAATTTATTTTATTAATCAAATTGTGGAGTTTTAAGTATTCTATAATCAGTATTCATTTCCTAAACTTGTTTTTCCTAAATGTGCAGTTTGTGCCAAATGCAAGGCAAGGAAAAATATATATATATTTATAAAGCAGTTGGTGTAATACTTCTAGGATATATATATATATATATATAGTTATTCAAACTGAACCAGATATTAAACTGTTTAAGATTTCGAATCATCGAATTAATAGTTTAACCATTTGATTAAATAGGTCAATTATCAGTTTAATAAAAAATATTATAAAAAATATAACTATTTTAAAAATTCATAATTTAAACTTTTAGCTCAAGTTATAATTTTATAATTCAATCATAAAACTATAAATTTTAAGATATACCATAAACTACAAATTTTAAAATATAAAATTTATAAAACAATTAATTACTAGTTAGAAATTAAATTACTTAACATTTAATTAAAATCATATTTTATATTTTAGTAGTTATAAATAATATTTATATTTTAATAAATATAACAAATAATAACTAATAAATAATTATTTATATTTATTAAAATATAAATATTATTTATTTATATACAATAATTAATCTTTATGTAATAAAAAAGAATTATCTATATATAAATTTAATAAAAAAAGGAAATATTTATATTTATATGAAAATTAGTAAAAAGAAAATTCAAATCATTTTTATATATTTTATATGAATGTAGATTTTTTTATTAATTGTATTTTTTCTTTTATTAATTATTTTTTATTATGATCAAATAATTAATCGTTTTTATTAACATTTTATTTTTATTAATTATATATATTATTATTTTTATAATTATTTGTAATCATAGTATCAATTAATAAAATTTTTTGTTAGATTATATTTTTTTGAAAACTACTTATTTTTATACATGTATAAGTTTTTTTGCATGTCATTATTCTTATATCTCAAAATATATCAACATATCATTAATATAAGAATACAAGGGCTTTGATGGTAGAAAATAAAAGTTGAGAGATTTATTTAGATAAAATAATAGTGTAAAGGCCTAATTAGATTATTTTAAAAATTTGAAGAATTTTTTTTTATATTTTACTTAAATTTATTAGTCATATTGAACTAATCTAATTTTAAAAAATCATATAATTTATTAATTTATTACATAAATCATCAATTTACAATAATTTAAAAGAGTTTAATTATAAAATCATATCGATTTCAGCATATGTTCTTGACTCATCACCACGAATCATAGAGTTCATGTGCTATGGCTCATAGTCATGGCATGGGTACGCTACTCTCTCGCATTAGCTCTAAATAAGATTATGATAATTTAAAATATGATGAGATAATAAGAATTTAATATTATATAAATAAAAAATATTAAAATAACATAATTTAAAATTTTAATAATAATTACATAAATTAAATAAAAAATATATTTTATATTTTTATATCAATAAATTATAATTCATAATTTTTTATAAAATATAATATAAATATATAATTTTTAATATTTTATATATTATAAATATATAAATAATCAAATTTACCTCAATTTTATCAGCTAGGTATTTGGACTGAAATGACAAATCTGAAATTTTCGTCGTTCAGCGAAATTATCAAAGATTGACCCATGCCCGCAGTGACAAACCCTCTTAGCTGAACAAAAAAATCCCCAAATTAATCAGAACCAGAGCATGTTATGACTAATTATTTAAGCGACGTGGTATATAGAAGTGATGGATAGAGGCTACAGACTACAATGGCAAGAAGAAGGCTGAGGGTTTTGACGGAAATAACCAAAGTCAAAGGTTATTTGACGAAGGCAACCCACGTTCCACTCTGAAATTTGTCAGAGAAAGGAAGAGCTGCAAATGCAAAGTGTGCAGCAGCTTAATAGCACACATCCCGATGTGAATTAATAAAAAGCAGTCCGCGCCAAGGACAAATCACCCTCCTCTTGTAGCCAAGTCCTAGTCATTTTGGTCTTCGCGTTGCTTCTTTTTACAGCCTTTTCTTCCGTTTTCCCCAAGGTCAGTCCGAATACAACCTCATATGTTTTCTTCCAGGCCCTTTTTAAAACCCCTGTACAAGTTACAACTCCATGACTACAACCTCCTCTTCTTCTTTGGTATAAGGTTCTTTTTAATGATCTAAGCCCTTTCCAGTCAATGAAACTTCCTTCAGTTCTTATCGGTTTCTGAATATAATTGGCCATTTTTGGACTAATGTGACACTTAAATATGGTTAATTCATTGGAAGTACTAATCTGCGAGCTAATTAATTAATTGCTTAATTAAAAAGTACTTCAAAATTCTACATCAGTTTGCATGCTCTTAAAAAGTAGAGAATGCTTGAACAACACTTGAAGGAAGTTTCTTCTATTCAGCACGTAAAGCTCTTTTTTGTTAATGGTTATACCTAAACTAGACTGATACTCTAATAAAATATTACTAGTTTCTCGACATAGTGAAGTGGAGCCACGGCATCGGCCATTGGGCAACACCAACCATGGTAAAAATAAATTAGTATATAAAAAAGGGGGAACATTGGTCTCAAATTTTGGAATAAGTGAATGTTTTATTGGGAAAGACGAGACAGCATCTTCAACCTAAAGGTGATTAATCTGGCATCTCCATAGATTATCATTGGCATTAGCTTTTTTTAACCACGCTTTTTCACATTAGCATTAGCTTAATTACGTTTTGTTTTAATACTATATATGTATATTAAAATTAATCTTATTCAAAATTGTCTAAGTTTTTAGAAAGTTGGAAGTTGAGTGGTGTGGTTTACCAAAGAAATCGCCGTCAGCAGCAGTGGAAATGACTTTGGGACCAGCCAGAAGATGGCTTTTTCATTTGTCCAGAACGGTAGATGCTAAAGCGTCCGTGCGTTTCCATCTTTTTGCAGCGTCCCTGCCCCTACTTTGATACCCAGCTGACATCGGAATGTGACTACGTCCCCTCATGAAACTAAGCTTTCAAATCCCCATTCCTCCTTAAATTCTTTTTTTCATCTCATAATTTTTCTAAATCTTTTTTTCTTTTTTGGTTCCTGTTCCGTTTGGTTTCATGTGCAGCAGCAGGGGTTGAGTTGCGAGTCTCTTGTCCCACGTTAAGAAACCACCATAACAACAAAGTTCGTTAATACTGAGATTCGTCCATGACTTATAGTTTAAGTTTTGTTTTTTTTCTTCTTTTTGTACCCTAAAATTTTGAAGTTGCATGCGACATGGTATTTTAGTACGATAACAAAAATGCTTTTCTCACCATTCTTCAAATTCCAACGACGAAAATGTTAAGCTCGATCATGTACAACAATTGTAATATATATGCACAGTCTTTCACTACAAATTCCGACGATAAAAAAAATCTGACCAAGCATTGCCTTTTGTCTATGTCAATCAACTCTCAAGAAAAAAAATCTCCACCTCTAATCATCCCCTAACAAAAATATACTAGGAAAAAAATGCGAACGAATCTAGGTCCTAGGGTTCGGTTGAGTATTATTGACATGGTGAAGGCTTAAAACCTGGGTTTCTTGAGATGTCCCAAAGAGTAAAGTGGAGTCACAATCAGAGCTTGATTCCCTTCTGATGGTAAGGTTGATCAGAGAGATCTCCTCGTAAAATTGTGTTTTTGGAAAATCGTAACTAAGAATTTCATCTTCTTGCATGTGCCCCCATGGCATTATGCCTGATCACCTTCTTTCATCCTTCCTCCATCACCGTACAATCAATCAAAGCAGTAGGTGTATCCCCATCTTTGACCAATAGTCAGCCCCCCTCGGCTCTTCGCCAACATCATCATCGCATATCGTTCATTCATTAATTAAACAGAAAAATGTTACCAATTCAACGAATAAAAGGGTCAAAAAGATAGTTGATGATCTGGGAAGTTTGTCTACTCAATCACAGCGCGCGTGTGGCGTCTCAACTGCGTACTAAACTTTCCATTCCTGCACGTTTGCCACGACAAAAAAAAAAAAAAGAAACGTTGAAAATCAGGAAATGTAGTATTTTTTTCATTTTCTTTTCTGGGTGTGAAAGGGTTTTGGGTTTGGTTGGCTTTCGGCGGATGATATGTTTTTAAACGTGGCCCTTAATTTGGAGACGTACGTTTACTGCGTCATGGATTCCACAGCTAGGTCTCGAGGTTTTTTAACTGACCTTTACCTCTATGGAGTTTGGAATATATATATATATATATTATTTTCCCATGCTTGGCTGTGGCTTAGGCAGCCGAAAAGTGATGCAAATATCAAATTATTGTCGCAACATCAACACTAAAAATGCACTTTTCCAAATGTTCATGGTGGGTTACTGAAATTTGTCGCAAAAAATCTATTTTAAGATATTTTATAGTATTGGAATTTTTGGAGAAGCAAAATGGATTTTAATACAATGTTTTCCAATAAAAAAACGAAAAAAAATGTTTTTAGTAAAAAAAGTAGTAGGAAAAAAAAAAAGAGAAAGGCTCCTCCTTCCTCTATTTAATAGTAACTATTCACCTCAAAATTGAACGGTAGAAAAAAAAAAAAAACTATTCACCTCAAAGTGGTCGAAACATAATCTCTTATTCTAATGTGGTAAGTTTTTTTGAGTTGCCACGGTTCCTCTACCTCAGAACTCTGACGAGAACCCAAATAATTGGGTAGTGATAGGCTATTTCTTACTAGAAAGGCAAAAAATGACACTTAAATGGTGCTTAATATCTAACTCAGCTAAGGCCTCACATTTCGGTGGATATGGACCGATACCAATAGAAAAATTCCCAGCCCATTGTTGACATGAGGTGCTGAGGCCGTTGGTGTGATATTTCCTGAGCCCACCACACTTGTACTGGTATCCCAACTTAGGAGGCCCCTTGGAATGGTTTTAGATTGAGATGTTTCTAATCCAAACCTTTCTTCTTCCTTTTTCTTATTTTTGTTTTTTTGGAGAAATATCCAAACCCAAGTTAGGTCTTACCTTAGTTAGTAAAACCCAAGTTAATTTCATTCGAAAGGACAAATGAGAAAAAGACAAAAAGGGGAATTGGATAATTTCATGGAAGTTTTCTACTAGAAAAAATTGTTTTTTTTTTTTTTGCCAATACTAGTAAAAATTGTTGGGTAAACTGTTAACTCAATGTGAATATAAGATTTTCGTGTATAATTCCTTTTTTCCTGAAAGAGGAGTGTTGGGTGGTTAATCTCAAAATTATCACATTGCAGTGGAGATATTTTCTGTCCCATAAACAATTATGTTTTCTGAGTTTAAGGAAACAAAGGTTGAGGGAAGGGGGAATAGATATTTTGGGTTTGGAAGCTTTGGTTCTTGTCGAGAGTTGAGAGAGATAACACAATCGAGGCTTTTAGTGCAACGGAGGGCCAACCTGGAACATCCTATCAATCAAACACCATAAATTGCCTATCCAACCGCCATGTCAGCACAATCCAGATGAAACTGAATGAGTGGTTCTCTGGCTGCAAACGCGGAAGACAAATCATCTCCACATCCCCTTTCAAAATTATCAGATTAGATTTCCAACTAAAGCCAGAAAAAAAAAAAAAAAAAAAAAAAGAAAGGAAAGCAACAAAAAAATTAGGCAAATAAATTTACAAAAACTAACCAACTTGTTTCAATTCTCCATTTCATTGGCCTTAGAATCTCTCCCAGGACTAGATAATTTTACATCCTGTTAGAGGTTGATTAGCCATGGCTTCAGCTTCCTCCACTTCGCTATCAATCTCTTCCTCATCTACCCTTGTGGATGCCAAGGCTCCTCGTCAACCAACTGCTGCATCTCCACAATGTGTGACTCTTCCTACTCTTCCTCCCCCACCCGTTCAGTCCCAGAATCGTCCCTGGAAGACCACTGCTTACTGTAAGTTGAAAGACATATTTCATATATATATATATATATATATATATATATATACATCTTACACTTGATCAAGGATAAAGTACTATTCCAAATGGTGTTTAACTTTTTCAGGTCGCAAGATTGCTCGAAATGTGATGGCTATGGCCACTGGTGAGGCTATGGCCACAACTGAGGCTCCAGTGGAAGTTGCAACGGCTGAGCTGCCAGAGATTGTCAAGACAGTTCAAGAAGCCGTAATAATTTTGCCTCACATTTCTTGCAATCTTTGTTCTTTTTGTTCACTTTTCCAGTTATTACACGGGATTTTGTATTTATGACACGAATTATGTTATTGGTTTTCAGTGGGATAAAGTTGAGGACAAATATGCTGTGAGTTCACTTGCTGTCGCAGGTGTGGTTGCCCTCTGGGGCTCTACTGGAATGATCTCGGTGAGATTCTAAAGATGTAGATTGTCTTATGCCTTAAATGATTAAACATGAATCATCATTCATCAACAGCATTATACTTAATTGTTCAAACATGAGAAGTGGCTAAATTCGTGAAAGGGGTGTCGTCTCTGACAGGCAATTGATAGGCTCCCTCTGATTCCTGGCCTTCTGGAGCTCGTCGGTATTGGCTACAGTGGGGTAAGCTGGATGTACTTAACTTTTGTTTCGTGTGAAGGTTCTATACAAATAAGAGCACCATAAATAAGTCATTATCTACTTTACTAGAGGTCAGGATTATCCATCATTTGCATATATTTTGTTTAAAGCCATTTCTTTATAGTTCAAAGTCATCAACTGAGAAACATATTTCTGTCAGTATCAATCAGTAACGTCGAGTAGGATTTGTATAGATTCCAAGACAAGGTTGAATATCATCTCTGCTTCCTCTTAATTCTAAATGCGGCATGATTCGTATGATCAGATACATTCATAAATAAAATTATCATCAAAGCTTTACATCGGGAATTCACATTTCCTTATGAATTTTTGTTGTATCTCCTTGCAGTGGTTTGCATACAAGAACCTTATTTTCAGGCCAGACAGGCAAGTCTCTTGGTGCATGCTATCTCAATTAAATCACTCGTTTCCAATTCATTTTGCATTGCCATTAATGTTTTTAGCAGAAAACAGGATGAATTATGTTCAATCTTCCCTTTTAGTGATGGTTTTTCATCCTACTTTAAAATTCAGGGAAGCTCTGGTACAGAAAATTAAAGACACGTACAAAGAAATAATTGGGAGCAGCTAGAGGAAACTGGTTAAGGATGCTGCAGAGATGAGGTGAACACTTGAAATCTAAAGCCAGTACTGGCAGCATCAACATGTTACCTTGCTTCATTTTGTTAGCACAAGTGCTAACCAGAGTAAACCAATATGATGTAGTTTTGTCATGGGCAATTGAGATACATGCATATTTTTATTTTCCCATCTGTAGCATACTGTCTGATGCTAATAATCAGCTTCTTTTGTCACCGAAAACACAAGAACTACATTGACTGTCTAAATTGCCACTGTGTTTTTGCTTGGCTTCCTGACGAGACGAGCTACAGAAGATAATTCACTGCTCATTTGCTAGAGAGTAAAAGGCTGCAGAACCTCAGTACCTCTCTATGAATTCTAGAGAAAGATTAATCTGAGAAACACTTTTGAGTGAGATCTGCATATTACAAAAGATATGCGCAGAGAAATCCAAATTCTTATACACACTAGTCTTTTGTGGATTCAAGGATCCGCCTTCCTTGGTCATTGGTGCAGAGAGAGTCACTTCCAGGTAAAGTCCTTAGAAGTCAGATGAAATTAAATGAGTTGAAACTCAAAAATAGAAGCATACCAATATCTAAAATCTATTTAGGTTACTAAACCTGACTTTACGTAATTAATTATTAGCTAATATCTATTGTCACATTATTGTTCATAATAAGGGCTTCAATCTGAATTTCTCCTTCATATCTCACTATTTTATGAACAGGGTTTCACATTAATTAATAACCGACGCTAAAGTAAAAGGTAGTATGCTTATTTCTGATGATTTCCTTATGATAAATTTTCATTCATTTACCAATAATAATAAAAAAAAACTAATTCAAGGATGCAAAAAATAACATATGAAGTAATGTGCTTATTTCATATAGAATTCTTTTTTTTTTTTTAAGCTTCGTGAGAAAATGAGACAATTAAGATATAAAGCAAAAATGTGGGGAAGTAGATTGAAAAAGGTCGCAAAAGGAAGGGATGTGGCTAATAATGATTTGAAAGAGTTGCACCAAGAAAACAAAAAGTTACGAGTCCAACTCAAGATCGAAAAAGTTATCAAATCTTACCTCAGTCGGCAACATGAGATGGATGAACTCCAATAGGAAGTAAATCATTGGAAAGGCAAGGCCCAAGGAAAACAAGAAGTGACTATCAAAATTTCTCAAGAACGCGAGAATTTGGAGGAATTGTACCCAACCGTTTCAGCGAGAGTGGTAACATATCAAATGGAAAAGGAGATGTTGCAAGTCAAGCTTGAAAAGGAGAAAAAAAGCAAATCAAAATGCTAAATGAAAAAGAGTCATTTCGCCAAGTGATCCGAAGGTTAGAGCAACAGTTCCAAGATCACAAGAATCACATTTCAACAATTATGGATGAATGGTAGAAAAGGGAAAGGGACTGGAGTTTCACATGTGACTTGGAAATAGATGCCTGCATGAAATGGAAAACAAAAAGCTTGGGTAGGCAAGAGTACATTGAGCAACTAACCAGTCAAGTTTGCAAAGTGATGAAAAAGGCAAGAGAAATGCTTGAAAAGGCAAAGGCGTTAAGGCAAAAAGTCAATCCTACCGAAAAATATGGACAACGCCTAGTAAACTTTCTAGATGAACCTAAGGATTATTACTAGCAAGTTAAATATTTTTATGGATTCAATCCTAAAATGATAAGCTTCATGTAATCATAGTTGTTCAGGATTAATGAAAAAATTCTAGTGTTGAAATTTGTCGAAAAATAAATATATCTCACTTGCATTCATTTGTCATGTGCGCCATATTGGTTTTAATAATCATCAATTTCCAAAAAAATAATAAAAAAAAGGTTGACCCAAAATTTTCAATACACAACATTATTATTTTTCTTAAAAAAAATTATGATAATAAAGGTTCAATGATAGATTAGTCGGTAAAGTCTTCGAATCAACTTATCCGTCATTCATATAACACTTGATCATGAGTAAAAGCCATGGAAGAAGGTCAAAGCAATCGAATGGAAAAGATTGAGAAAACACAAGAAAAGATAAAGGAACAGTTGACTGCAATGATGGCCATAATGGCCAAGATGGACAAAGGGGAAGAAATGATGAGAGGCGATAGACCCTACGAAAGGCATCCGTAACAGAAAGATGATGATCCCCCATATCCTTCAAGTTTTACCCCACATCGAGCCCAACTTCTCAAGGAGCTTAACCATAACCTGCATCTTTTATAGGAGGATATCCATTCGTTTACGTTATTATGCCAACAACACAAGGTCCTACCTAATTTCAAAGGCACATTATTTCGATAATAGGAATGAAATTGTCAGATCCAATCCATGTTTCTGATCTAGATGACCCCAAAGAATAGAAGAAGTTCAAAACAAGCACTTCAAAAAAAAAAAAAACCTAGAGTCTATATATAAGATGAGCCTCATAGAATAACGACGACAAGCCATTTAGGGAATGGATATTTATGGCTTGATGGATGCGATCGGATTGTGTTTGTTGTCGAATGTAGTCATCCTTACCTAAGTTCAAAGTCCAAAAATTTGAAAGGTATAATAGGACTAAATGTTTTGTGACACACGTTACCATGTATTATAAAAAGATGGTTGCTCACACTCATAATGAAAAACTACTGATATACAAATTTTAAAATAGCTTCACAGTATTGGTTGCTAAATGGTATGTCCAATTGGACAGAAGTCGTAACCATTCATGGAAAAAGTTGGCTAGGGCTTTCATTACCCACTATAGGCATGGCTTTAGATCGCCTATCCTTACAAAGCATGGAGAAAAAAATCAATGAAAGTTTCAAGGAGTATACGCAGAGATAGAGAGAGGCTACAAGCCAAGTTTAATCACCCTTCATCCGAAAAAAATAACATTTTATTTGTTAATACTCTTTAAGCGTTATATTATGAAAAAAAGGTGAAAAAAGCTACAAAAAATTTTACAGATATGGTAATATCAAGAAAGATCATTGAGAATGTAATTAAAAGTGAAAAACTTAAAGGATGAGATGCAAAGAATAGTAATGCATTTAAAAAGAAAGAGGATGTCCAAGCTGTAACTCACAGGGGGCACCAAAACAATAGTTTTGTCCTAAACTATCCCCAACTAGCTTACCACCTTTACTATCCGACCATAAACCATGTTTCGTCCCTACACTTATCCACCAATGCCATAGTAAGGGTTTCGACCAAGTTTTTAGCTTCAAGTGCCTATTCATCCATCCATAAACCAATGCCCCACTTAGTTGAATAATCCAAATAGTTTTTTAAAAAGGTAAAGAAATAGTAAAAAAAAACCCCTTTTGATCCAATTTCTATTGCTTATACTGACATGTACCCTTACTTCTAAAAAAATAGCATGTTGCATTTACCTATAAAGAATCATTAAAACCTCTTTACCCAAAGTGGTATGATACCAATGTTAGGTGTGAATACCATTTTGGTATTACAGGCCATTCCCTAAAAAATTGCATGGCATTTAAATATAAGGTATAAGGTTTGATTAAAAATAATTATTTGAACTTTAAAAAGAAAGAGGGACCAAGTGTTAATGGCAACTCTTTGTCGAATCATACCTACCCAACAAGTAATGCCATGGATGAAAGTGAGGAATGATGTATAAGGAGATTTGTCAGTGATATCAAAACTCCTCTTGAAAGAATATTTGATGCATTGGTAAAGGCTAGTGCCTTCTATCCCACGGTCTCAAACTAAGATGATGGCCGACAAAGCATGATCCAGATTAAACTTGCAAATATCAAATAAGGGCAATAAGATACTCCATTCAAAACTGTAATGCATTCCATTAGGTGTTGCAAATAATGATAGATTCATCTTTGATTGAATTTTTTGTTGAGTGTGATGAATATTCGATGAATGCCACAAGAGAGGAGCTTTTAAGGAATACACCTTCAAAGGTCATGTTCAAGTCGATAACCATATTTTATGCGAAAAAACCAGTTCAGATAAAAAAATAATGTCATTTTATGCCAAAGCCAGTTGTGATTATATATCCCCAATTTTTTTTCATACCAAAATAATAAAGTAGTACCATAAAAAAATGATCATGGATCGAATGACGATTCAAGTTCAAGCAATTTAGGTACTTCTAATATCATCAGAGTAAGCTGTATGACTAGAAGTGGACGTGTTTTATGCCAAAACCTTAGAGAAGATTCGAAAAAGAAAAGCAAAGAAGGAGAAAAAGTGTTAAAAGAAGAAAAAAAGACTAATTTAATGACAACTCAAGAAATATAGTATAAAAAGTTAGTCTTCAAGGAAAAAGCTTGTGAGTTTTTAAAGTTGATCAAACATAGTGAGTACAGTATTGTTGAGTAGTTGAACAAAATGTCCACCTGTATCTCACTACTATTTTTATTGTTAAACTCTGAACCATACCAAAAAGCCTTATTAAAAATGTTGAATGAAGCAAATATGAAGCATAATATATCAATTAAAAATATGGGCCATATTGTGGGAAATATCATTGCACCGAATTACATTACCTTCCATGATGATGAGATCCCACTAGAAGGTTGAAAAAGTACCAATGCCTTTCACATTTCTATTTGATTCAAAGACTACATTATTGGCAAGGTTTTCATTAACAATGGCTCATCAATCAACGTCATGCCCATCACCACTTTGAAGAAGCTGCCTGTGGACATGTCATATATAAAGCCAAGTTATATGATTGTAAAGGTATTTGATAGATCTTGATGCAAAGTATTTGGAGACATTGAGATAGCCTTAGAAATTGAGTCATATACATTTACTGTGAAATTTTAGGTCATGAATATTTCATTATCATATAGTTATTAGCTTGGAAGGCCATAGATTCATATGGTCGGTGCTATCCCATCTTCTTTACATTATAAGATCAAGTTCATTGTGGGAAATAAACATGTTTGTATCTTGAGAAAAAAAGACCTATTGGTAAGCAAGTCCTTAAGTACACCATACATGAAAACTATCGATGAGGCATTAGAATGCTTTTTTCAATCTTTTAAATTACCAATATAACTTATGTGAGAGAAGGATCAAAGGCACCGATTCCACAACTATCAAACTGAGATGGTGGTCAAGCAAACAATTGAAAAAATATGGTGTTATGAAAAAGGTTTAGGGGTAAGCTTGCAAGGAATCAAGAAGCCATTGAGGATAATTAAAAACCAAGAAAGATTCAGGTAAGAATAAAAAACTAATGCAGTAGAAAAAAGGAGACTCATGGCTAAGAAAAGAGAGAAAAGAATGGTTCGC